GCCCCGAAAATCCCGGGAACAACACGAGAACCACGAGCAGCAAGGCCCCTGCACGAACACCAAAAATCCATGCCCGAAAGACTGCAAGGCCACGTCGCCCAGACGGCAGCGAGAGCAGCGAAGCCACGAACGCCACAGGCATGAGGGAAGAACACAGGCAGCTTAGCCGCAAGAACACGGCTGACCACCCGGGACACCATCACCCGCGAACCGGGAAGAACAGAACCGGATCAACGCAAAACGCGCTCCGGACCCAAACGCCGTGGCACGCAAACAACAGCAGAGGGCCGCCACTGAACACAAAAACGACACACCCCCGGCCCGACCAACAAAGCACCAACAAACCCTGGACCCCTCCAGAATGCAGCAGCCCCACCCCGCGCCAGAAAAGATGGAGACTGCTGCCATCAAACAACCAAAACGCTAAAACCGAAGGAGCAAGAAAACACAGCGAACCGACCCCCAGAGGCAAAGGCCCAAAGGAAAGAGCCGACGAAAAAACACACCGGAACCGAAGGGGCACTACCAACCGAGGAGAAGACAGAGCACGCTGACCAGAGACCAGGATGGTGCAAGCGGCGCACGAACAGGCCGGAGGTGAAATGACGCACAAGACAGCTGACTAACGGTGCAGAAGCAACACCAAGACCGAAAGCAAGCTGAAGCGGCTCCGCCTGCGCCGCACGAAAAGAGGCGACAGTATGTGGCAAGACGACGGCCCCCAACCCCTACTAGAAAACCAAGCCGAGAGTAAACCAAGCCAACAAGAAGGACCCACCGAAGAAGGGACAGGAAAAGGAAGGACCGCCAAAATACCCCATACTGCCGCCAAGAAAGCACGCAGGTGGGACACCTACCACGAAGCCACCTGACCACCAACCGGAGGCGAGACCACGAGGCAGAACATAAGCAGCCCCGACAAGGCCCCCCCGAGCCCAGGAAAAAGGCGGAGCCGCGAGAAGATCTCGGGCGCGACCACCGAAACCCAGGCGGCACAAGGAGATGGAACGTCTGCCGAACAGAAAAACTCCGAAGCATGCAAGCCCGCCAGGAGTTCAGAAACGACGGGTCCGACGCGAGACATCGCAAGAACCCCCCCAAAAAAAGTAAAACAACAACAACCGGCAGGGCAAGCTAGGAAAACCAAAGAAGGCGGAAGGGTCGCCGCCAGAACAGGACCCGAACCAAGGGGCACGAACAACTGCAACAGACCGAGACAAAGAAGCACATCACAGGACACAGGCTGACCAACGCCTAAGAACACACGCAGAACATTCCTGCTGCAGAAGAGGCAGGAAGAAAGAGCAGAAGCACAAAAAAAAAAAAAAAAACCAGGAGAACAACCAGGGGTGGACAATCAGGCAGGGACAAAAACCCCACGCAATCCCCAGGCACAAAACGGCAGCAAAGCGCCACTCCACAACCGGACACAGGAACAAGGACACGCCACCGTGAAACACGGTACCAATGCTCACGTGCAGCAGCAGCAGCAACAGGCACCACTGCAACATGCAACATGTAAATAGCAACTCCCCTCTGCAAAGGCAGAGAACGGAGCAGGCAGACCCCAGACAGGGCCAACGGAGACACGACAAAACCCTGCAGGCCCAGAAACCTGCACCAGGCGACCGACGGCGGAGAAAACCCCGCTCGATACCTGCTGGATGAGGTACTGGGAGCTCTTTTACACCTCAAGCCCGGCCCAAGGTCAGGCCAGACCGGCCAGAGGATGGCCCACCAGGCAGCTGCTAGGAGCAGTCCACCGGCCCACATACCCCCACAACCAGGACGGGCCGGAACTGCCATACGAAAACAGGCCAGTGCGCCCTGGAAGTCCACGGACGAACCAGCAAGAAGGCTTATGCTCGCAAGTAGGTCGTGTAACAAGCACAGACCACTGATGGTAATACAGTGTTCCCCAAAAGTGCCAATAGCACCACTGCACTCCACTGGTACTATCCCGCAAGTTCTACCAGATAGGCGGGACCCAAGAGCCAGAGCTCAAATCCTGCAAGCACAGCCAGGAGCCTCACCAGGTGAGTACAGAACCAACCCTACAACCCCCACACCTCACAACATTAAAAAAGGAGGGTCCCCTGAATGACTCCAGCATGGGTTGGACATGCACATGAGGGGGACAGGAAGGGGTGATAAAGGGACAGTCACTGGTGTGCGAACGGTCTCAGTCGTACAAAATTATACCTAAATAAAAACAGGTATATGAACACCGCCGCATCCAGCGCCCGGCCAAAAGACGCCAGACCGCAGAAACTCACCTGGCGAATGGTGGCTCGAACTTGACACGACTCAACCGTGCCCAGAAGAACTTGGGAGCACCGCCAGGTGAAGACGCCAGAGCCGGACCCGCAGGAGAACAGGGAGAGGCGAAGGAGGCGGTCCACACCCATGACACAGAAAACCGCGGTGTCCTCCCCACAACTGGGAACCAGGACACCCCTGGTGCAAAGGGGCACATACCGCAGCCAGGGAGAAGAACGAGAGGCGAAGCACTGTAGCAAAAAAGGGCGCAAAACCCCAGCACTGAACCATCGCCCAGACCAAAACAAACTCCACGGCGCATGCGCATAACACGCTGGCCGAACCGCACACCCTCCCTGCGGGAAGGCGCCAGCCAGGACTATTGCACGAGAAAAGGAGCCAAAAGAGGAAGCAGGAACAATAAAACCGGCCAAAGAAGCAAAGAGCCCAAAAAAAAAAAAAGGGAACCCAAACGGGCGACAAGTAGCCCAAACGGGCGACAAGTAGCCCAAACGGGCGACAAGTAGCCCAACCGGGCGACAAGTAGCCCAACCGGGCGACAAGTAGCCCAACCGGGCGACAAGTAGCCCAACCGGGCGACAAGTAGCCCAACCGGGCGACAAGTAGCCCAACAGGGCGACAAGTAGCCCAACAGGGCGACAAGTACTAGGAGCCGACAGACGTTCCAATAATGCGGGAAGTAGCGAAAAACCTTCCCGTACCCTCGAGAACACAGAAGCCAACACTAGTCCCGAAGGCACACGAAGGCGCAGGCGCACCCGAGATCAAAAGTCACGCAGAACCCCAACGAACGGGGAAACATGACAAAAACACCGTCCCAAAAAGCGGGGGAGGAAACATCCACCCACAGGACGGAACCAACCGACTCAAAGGCCAAGGAACCGAGCCCGGGGAGGGGCCGACGTCCAACAGCACGTACGGCGAGTGGGGAGGAAAGACCCCACTCCGCGTAACCACAAGCCCCGCCTAGAGGGGGATAAAACCCCCCACGGGGTCTAACGGGGCCAAGGCCCCCCCCAAGGCAGCCCCTCCCCAGCCCCGGGAACCTACACGACAGGCCCCGGGGCCGAGCCGTTCCCCCAAAGCCCCGGCCGTACCAGAAAACCGGGGCAGCCGTGAAAACACTAAGGAAGGGAGCCCACTGGCAGACTCATACAACACGGCTGGAGGAACAGGCCCAAATGCCCCCGTCACTACCCCGGAAGGGGAATTCCCCGAGACTGCCCGAGTCTCAACACCACGAAACACCCCGCCCTGAACCTACAGACGGTAAGGAACCGGATGCAGGCAGGAAGGGTGAACCAGGGGAAAGACAAGGGGGCGTGGATGCAACCAACACCCCCAAGTCCCAAAACGAAATACAACGGGGCAGCCCCGGGGCTCCCGGGGAGGAAACCACGAGAACGTTGCCACCACCAAGGCTCAAGTGCAACGCCCCTGCTGCCCGCACCCGCTTTGTTAGCACAACTGGGTAACCGAGCCACAACGAGCAACCAAACTCGCAGGACACCGGGTCGAAGGTGTCACCGACCCCACAGGCAGCAGACGGAGGCAAAACAGAGAGTCACCCAGAGACAAAAGGTGAGAGCAACCCTCAAACTCGCTGGAAGCGAGGGGGGGGCTCTGGGGTCACATCCATCGGACCCGCGCGCCCCCAGGGGTTTCCCAGGGTCCCGAGCGTTTACTTTAAGAGGACTCGCGCTCAGGTAATCCCAGGCAGGGTACTGCTAACCGGCACCCAAGCTACCAAACAACTTTCTAAGAGCTGAACCCCCGGGACGTGTACACTCACGGGGACCTAGCAGGGGGTACCACCAGAAATACTCAGAACACAAGGGACACAAGGGGCAAGAACGAAGGCAGACCCCCCCACCAGGTATATAAACAAAAGAAAAAGAAAACCCCGCAAGAGGACAGCGTACCCAAGCGGAACAGAGCCGGCCGCTATGATTGGTAAAGACAAGCTGCACAGTACCCCGCGCCCCACCAGTGCAAACACCGCCCCTTACTCTAAGGCGAACAAGGGAGACAGAACACCCGAGCACACAAAGAGCGGCCGAAAACCAAGCGGTAAACGGCCAAGCAGGGGCAGGACCCAAGGAACTTGTGGAAGGTGGCCCCAAGCCCCAAGGGCAGTACTTACAGGGCACCTAGGGAAGGGAACCCTAGGCGCATGCAGCCCGAGTACTGAAGAATCACACCCGGCTCACGCACCACCTAGAAAACAGACACCACACTCTAGGTACAGTGCTGAAACAACCACTGGAGCCGGAGCACATAACCATTGCCTATAGCATCAGCCGAAGAACTGATGGGTGGATAGCCGGCGTGGGAGGTCTGGGGCTCCCCCTTCCCCCTCCCGGGGAGGGGGGAGCTGCGCAGACAGCGGCGCGGTGACGTATGACGTCATACTAGTTTCCGTGTTTTCTGTTGAAGAGTTCTATTCACTAGTTCGGCTTAGGTAGCAATTTTCACCAGAATAGGGGTTTGTTTTGGAATGCTTACCTTTCTGGATGCTTGACCCGGTCGATGGCAGACATAGAATGCTTCCAACCACACGGGGGTTTCTATAGGCCATTGCTCCCCTTGCCTCTCTGAGGGGGCCAGGTTCTGGCTCGTGGTCCCCGGTAGGCCCTAGAACTCCATACACATGACTGATGCCAAAGTCTGACATTAGCATATCAGCCGGTAAAGCTCCGGGGAGCCGACGGGGCTCCCCCCAGAAAACCTCTAGACATAGAGGTGTCTAGAGACGATGTGGGAAAAATGTGCAAGGAGTTAAGTAGGAACAAAGGAGTTTGGCCAGATGGAGTTATACCTTGGGTTCTCAGAGAATGAGCACAAATCTACAATCTGCCACATTTGTAGATTGTAGTTCCAATCTACAAAAGTGGCAACAGGGATAACCCTCTTAACTATAGACCTGAATCGTTGACAAGTGTAGTAGTCAAGATATTGGACAAAATAATTAAAACCAAATGGGTAGAACACCTGAGAGAAATGACAGACAGTATGGTCTTTGATCAGGAAGATCCTGTGTAACAAATCTATTAAATTTCAATGATATTTAATAGAGATATTACAGGAGATAGTTAGGTTCACTTCATTTATCTGGACCTAAAAAAGGCTTAAGACAGAGTCCCACATAAGAAGTTGTTTTGGAAACTGGAAAAAATGGTAGAAATAACAGGTAAGCTTCTAACATGGATGAAAAAAATTTTGATAGAAAAACAAGGGCAGTAATCAGAGGCAATGTATTAGACTGGAGAAATATCACTAGTGGAGTGCCACAGGGTTCAGTTCTTGCACCGGTAATGTTCATTGTCTGCATAAACAATCTACCAGAAGGAATACAGAATTATACGAACATCTTTGTTGATGATGCTAAAATTCTAGGAAAGATAAGAAATTTAGACGAGTGTCACGCCCTTCAATAAGATCTGGACAAAATAAGTGTATGGAGCACCACTTACCAAATGGAATTTAATGTGACTATATGCCACGTTATGGAATTTGGAATAGGAGAAAAATAGGCCACACATAACCTTCAAGTTATCTGAAAAAGCTTAAAAGAATTCTAATAAGGAAAGAGATCTAGTGATGCTTCTAGACAGAAATATGTCACCTGAGGACCACATCAACAACATTGTTCAAGGAGTCTATGCTATTCTTCCCAATTTCAGAATTGCTTTTAAATACATGGATGGAAAAATACTACAGAAATTGACAAAAGAAGAATTCTTGTGACCTGGAATTTCAAGAACAAGATGTCATAGAACTAAATTAACTAAACAAAGCTGCCCAAAAACATTAGAAAATTCACTTTAGCAAACAAGTTAAGAATGATGGTGGTGGAGGTCAAAACTGTCAGTAGTTTGAAAGCATTAAATGACAAAGTGCTTGGAAGGCGGGACACCACGAGCGTAGCTCTTATCCTGTAACTACACTTAGGTAAGGAAGGCGGGACCCCACGAGCGTAGCTCTTATCCTGTAACTACACTTAGGTAAGGAAGGCGGGACCCCACGAGCGTAGCTCTTATCCTGTAACTACACTTAGGTAAGGAAGGCGGGACACCACGAGCGTAGCTCTTATCCTGTAACTACACTTAGGTAATTATACACACAATGTGTGTGTAAAATGGGATTCTCTGAGAACCAGACCAAATCTGGATTTTGGAGAACTATATACATAGAAGTGTCTAGAGATGAGGAAGAATAACTGCTCAATAACTGCAGATACAGTACACGAAGAATAAGAATAACTGAAGAATAACTGCTTTTTCATGTACTGCAGATACAGTACATGAAAAAGGCAAACAGTTCCAATTCTACAAAAATGGCATCTGAGAAGACCCTCCAAATTGCATTCCTTATTCACTGACAAGCGTGGTAGTCAAATCACTAGAACAAATAATTAAAACCAAATGGGCAAATTCCTCTACAGAAATGACAACATAAAACTATAACTTTTGAACAGATAAATAAAAGACTGTCATGCCCTTCAAGACAACCTGGGCAAAATAAGTGAATGGAGACACACACGCACGAGGAGGAATTCAATGTGAATAAATGCCACATTATGGCATGCAGAATAGGACACAATACATGGATAGTGAAATATTAAAGAAACTGTTCACGACAGCTGTGAGACGGAAATTGGTTCATGCAACAATTGTATTGTGCCCCCTATCTCAAGAAGCACATTTCCAGCACAAACTGGAAAAGATGCAAAGACATGCTACTAAATGGCTTCCAGAACTGAAAAACAAGATCTAAAAGAAGAGGCTAGACGTGTTAAATATGCCAAAGGAAGAAAATTTAAGAAAAAGAGGCAATATGATCACTACATACAAAATAGTAACAGGAATTGACATAATAGGCAAGGATGGATTTTTTAAACCGGCAACTTCATAAACAAGAGGGCACAGAGTCAAGCTAAGGAAACAAATGTGCCAAAAAACATATTTAAGTTCTTTTTGCAGAGTTGGAGAAGGTTGGAATAAGATAATTGAGAAGGTATTGGATATCAAAACCATCAGTAGTTTCAAAGTGTTGTATGACAGTACTGAGAATACGGGACCCCCATGAGTGTAGCTCTCATCTTGTAACTACACTTTGTAATCACACGCATAAACAGTATATACATAAAAAGATTCAAGGGGGATAATGTTTGCAATAATACACAAATAAAAAGGAGACCTACCTTGCGGCGATTCAAAGGATCAACGTCCCCACAGCCTGGTCTCTGACCTGGTCAACCAAACTTTGACCGTCCAGCACCGGTAATGCCTTCACCCCCCTCCAACACTGATAATGACTTGACCCCTTTCACTGGTAATGCATCGAGACCTTTCCCCTATTCACCGGTAACATACAGAATGTCTCTGTTGGAGACGTGTTGACTCTCTTTCCTCTGCAACATATTGATCTGTTCTGCAAACCTCTTCTCTCCTTCCGTCCCTCCGCTCCACAAACTCAAATGATCAATCATTCCTCAATACTTAAATAATCTTGCAATTGAACATCTGAATATTTCCATCATGCCCTAAGAGGGAGGAATAACACGTATCAAATATCTTAAGAGATGTGGTGAAATGAGTCAAGTGTGCAAATAAAATACTTGTACTATATGATCACGTTACTGAAATTGTCATTTAAGTGCGGCATTGACAAAACATCTCTCGCCCCTCGGAGGCAGTGATTGACCACCCGTATCACCCACACAGCTCCACAAAAAAAAAAAAAAAAACACGTTTTACAAGCTAAAATATGAAACATTGAATATAATGAAATGTCCCAGGTTTGGTAAGGTCCTCAGTAGCTGCCCGTGCTAAGCATTCATTTGAAGCCATGCCTTAGAAAGAGGCCCCCAGGCCTCCGAGGCCCAACTTAAGCCAGGACTAGAATCTGCTTCACTCTGCAAGGTAAATAACTTCCGCTTATCAGGGACAGGAAGCGTGTACGGAGATACCCCCTAAGGTCGAACTACTGACCCAACCCCAGGATGCAACCCACAACAGTTGTCGAATTCCCAGGTACTTTATCTGTTTACTGAAAGGTGAACAGAGTAATCAGATGAAAGAAAATTTGCCCAACCATTTCTGTCCAGCATAGGGCTCGAACCCAGGATCCTTGATTGTGTTTCAAGAATGTGGTCCACTGTACTGTAATTTTTAGATCAGAGATGCACAAACAAAAAATGGAAAAAAACTCATCAGAAAGCATAGGCACAAAATAAAAAGCAACTGCTTGAAATAAATCAGGTATCCAACCAATGGTAACGAGGCAAACATTCATTACCACAATGTATACACACCCTTCGGGTATCATCTGACCACTACCAGGTTGACCCAGGCGACCAACCTAACAGAACCTCTACCTTATCAAGGAGACCAAATGTAAAAGGGCATCAAGATTGAACTTGAAGCCAGAACCAGATCTGCCAACTGCAGTCGAAACACACGGTGAAGCCACTGTAAAGATGCACTTGCAACCACCAAACCTGCAAATCCTCCACCAACATTAAGAGAGAGAGAATGGGGCAGCAAACTGAAGAGGTCAACAAAACAGCCGCCTGGACACAATCCAAAATGGCAGACAGGAATAATGAGCCACAAAGAAGTGCACATCTTGCAGAAGCAGAGTAAAGCACTCTGGTTGTCACTGTAGCTGTAGCAGCAAACATGGCAAAGGACTAGGGAAGCTCAGAATAGGAACCGAGATTTGTCTAGAATTGCTCAAAGAAAAGCTCCGGCACCACTCGAGGACGAAGAACATCTACAAAGCAGCAATGAACCTCGTAGCGAGGTCCATCCGTCACCAGTACCGAAGCCACTGGGAGCACCGGGATAAAGAGCTGCTATGTACTGTACCAACATCGTGGGCCAGAGCAAGAGCAAACAGGACATTACTGACAGCCTTGAATAGTACTTGGAGAGAGGAGCAAGGCAGCCACAGATTATGAGGAAATCTCATATACAACTCAAACCCTTGGCTAAAGCACCAGACTCCAAACACACACAAGCAGGAAGAGCACAATCGGCAGGTCTTTAACGTGCACACAGTATAAAGACCGACTCTTAACAACAAATCCACAAGAGCCGTGATTAGGGTTCGAACTAACGTCCGGGATGATCCCAGACGCGCCTTAGTCGACTGCGCCACGACATGGTCAAGAGAATTGCAACCGGGAGTGCTTCAGCACAACTTTGTTCATTTGACATATCACACTATCGTGATTTGTTTGTGTACTGACTCCTACCAATTGACAGCTTCCACTGAGGACAACAATTCTCATGCACTACCCAAAAGCAGCACGAGTTGAGATGAGTCAGTCGTAGATGAGGACACCTACAACCCCTCTTAGAGCATGTATCTCTCATGGGGTATAAGGGAATGGAAGATGACCCTGGCTACTGGTAACAATGACTACTGTCAAAGTGAGATGGAATGCTACAGCACACACACACAATGCTGGTGGTATACACGTAATCACGAAGCATAAATGGAATCAAACAAAGCAAGGGTGCTCTGGCACACCTAATCTTTCAGGAAATGCCAGCACAACTTAGCTGAAAGTGATAAGCATATGATACGTTCAGAGTGAGCCAAATGGCTTTCGATAGTCGACAGAAGGGACTCGGAGGCTAAGGCAAAGATTCATGTACTTACATGTCCACTTAAGAAACTTGTATGTCTGTCCTCAATCATGGTGGCTTTGTTTGCATTTAAGATGATGATTATGAAGTCCAAAGAACAGAGGTTGTCTTTAACAATAATAACCTTGGGTTGTGAAGTTTCGAAACTCATCAGCTGTTTAATAGGAACAGACTAAGCCACTGTGATCAGGGAGAGATGTACAGGTGTAGGCCGCCAGGTGCTTGATGACACCTGGCTCTGGTGTGATGGGCTCTGGTTTGGCGAGACCAGAGGTAAGCTTCGGCAGCTACTGAAGATTCTCTCCTAGTACAATAAACATCTTAAATAACCACTTGGCAAAGTACCAGATACTATATATGGGATAAGAAGTGCTCAGTGCCCTCCTGTTTCAGTACCTTATCCCAGTATTGTATTTTCCTGTCTGCCAGGGCTATTTTTCTGTCTATTAAGTATGTTTCTCTCTGCACATTTTTAAGTTGTTCATTCAAGATTTTTAACTGCAGTCTACTTTTTTCTTCCTCTAGCTTAGCCGTGATTAACTGGCTCGACACTAACTGTTTGTCAAAGTCAAGAACCATGTCTAGTTTTCTTTTCTGTGAAGTTCGTATAGATGACGGCCACACTGATCCACCAACAGTGCCGGGTGGGCTGGTCTCGGTTTCATGCCACTCCAGCGGGCTTGTGGCAATGCCGGGTTGCATTCCAGTGGGTGACGCTGTACTTGACATAGAGGGAGGTGTTCCAAGCGGCATGTCAAATGCCAAGTTCCTGCTCATGGATAACTGCTGAACGCCTGCCAACACCGAGTTATTTATGGGTGCCGTTGGCTGTGACTGCGGAGGCGGAGCAGGAGCAATGGGTCGGTAGCTGTTTCGGGGAGGTGCGCTTGTCGTGATGCCAAGGGGTATTGTCCCCATGGTGAATAACGTTCTCCCAGTTCCATCTATGGGCTGTGGCTGTTTTTTTTGTTGCTGATGCTGTTCTTCTTGTTGGTGCTGCTGCTGCTGATGCTGTTCTTCTTGTTGGTGCTGCTGCTGCTGCTGCTGTTGTTGGTGCTGTTGCTGTTGGTGGTGTTGCTGTTGCTGCTGATTATGGTTTTGAATTTGTGCTTCATCTTCTAGAAGAAAAGAACAAACAGGCAATTGCATGTAAATCATAATGAACTTTTTTACATGCTTCAAAGTGGTTCTTAAAGTAGCACGTACATGAAGACTCTCGGAAGACACACAACCATGCGATGGTCTTCACTCTAAGAACTGGTGACCCCCATAGACAGTAAATAATTTAAATAAGCAAAATTGTATTAACAAAAGTAATATTAATTAATATTTGATACTAAAGCCAAATTTCATTCCATTTTTTAATAAAATAAGCTAACACTATTGGCACATCTTGAAGGTCAGTATCTGATCCAAACTTTGCTAAACTGTTCCAATAACAACAACCGATTTTCAAGGTTCCTACAATAATGGGGCCAAGTTGTTGGTCACACTGTACAGTGTTAGTGCTTTCTCTTACTATTATTACAAGTATTGCCAATACTACTTCTCATCTATGGTAATTAACATTGGTAACTTCATAAAGTAAGCAATCATTTAAATTCTCAAACATTTAACCCTTGAAAATGGAGAGAATCGTAATAGGAATTAAGCATAAGTTGCGTTATTCAGGTGACACATCTAATGACGACGATGTGTTGTGTTATCATGATAGTGTTTGAATACTAACCGTCATCAAACATTTATGACAGCAACGAGATGTCACTGCATCACACACCATCACTTGGACGTAATGGCTTGCGGCCGCAATACCTTTACAAACATGACAGAGTACACGATGGGGTGCACGCCCTTCAACTTTCACATATAAAAGTAGGCATAACGTTTTGTGGCATTTCCCAAATATTTTACGTGCAGACCTATAAATTTGTTGGAAAATATTTAAAATTTAAGTAGTTTCTGTAAAATGTGTTTGTTTGGGCATTTTTTCTTTGTGGATTAGGTGTGTGGTAGAAAATACAGTGGAACCTCAGTTGACGAATGCCCTAGAGTATGAATTTTTTTATATACGTCAAATTCATCATAAAATTTGAATTGGTGTACGGTGGTTTACTTAAAAGACGACGTCTGTTCGTATGCGTATGGGTGTAACGAGTGCATGGTGCTGCTGAGGGCACAGGGTGAGGCGCATTTAGTTTACAAGTCTATCCCACATAATGACGACCGCAGCCACTCTTGAATTCTTTGCGAAGAATTTAATAGTTTGCCTGCATTTTTGCTTTTTTTAACATAAAAGTTCTTATTATATCATGCCATGGGTCCCAAGAAAGTCAGTGGTAAAGTTCAACCTAAGAAATTAGTTGCGAGGATGATGATAGAGGAAAAACGAGATCATTCGTAAACATGAAAATGCTATGAGGGTTGTTGATGTAAAGTAGACGATGTTCCTTCCTCCTTTATTAAGGATGTGAACAGTATGGGAAGAACCGCAAATTTTTGCTGAAAATTGTCACCCAAATTAATGTGCAGTAGTCTGTTGTGTTTACCTTTTTAATGACAATGTGATGTCTCACTTCAGAGAAGTGTTACAATGTAGGGAAAAACAAGTGTCGCTAGATAGGTTTTAGTGAGAAAATCAAGCAGTGAGTCACAAGCAGGTCCTAGTGGTATGCAAGCAAAACATAGGGGAGAATACCCAAGAGAAGTCATCACTGCCTGATGTTATAATGGAAGGGGATCATCTTCCAAACACTAACACCTCTTCTCCTCCTCACCGTCTTCCATACACCAACAAGGGTCCTCATTCAAGGTAAGATATACATACTGTATTATAGCTAGTACAAAATGAGTGTTATTCAGTATAAAATGAGTTATATTTTTTAGTTAATTTTTTTGGGGTTGTTGAACGGATTAATTCAATTTACATTATTTTTATGGGAAAATTCGTTTTAGTTGACGAATTTTTGGTTGATGACATGTCTCTGGAAACAGATTACGATTCTAAACAAAGGTACCACTGTATTGCCATAATTAAAGGTTTAAAACAATGCACATATAAGTTACAAAAGCTACAAAAATAATTCAGCTGGTCTGGAGGCACGAGTCTTCCACCTTTAAGCTACATATAGTGACTTGGACCGCACATATTACCACAAATATAGAAGGCATAGTAGCGAAAAATATTTGAATTATGTAAAATAACTTAATTAATTTAAAAATGTTAAACAAATCTCCAACTTACTGGCTTCAGTGTCATGAAACTTTCAACAAAATATTTTCAGAAATTGATTTTAGATGAATTTTTGAAAAATAAGAACGTTTTATTGATAAGGAGAACAGCTTCTAATAACTGGAACTGAAGGATTATGGAGTAATAAAGAGATGCAAGCGCCTGTCCGACGCTCAAAGAAGCAAGCGCCTGTCCGACGCTCAAAGAAGCAAGCGCCTGTCCGACGCTCAAAGATGCAAGCGCCTGTCCGACGCTCAAAGAAGCAAGCGCCTGTCCGACGCTCAAAGAAGCAAGCGCCTGTCCGACGCTCAAAGAAGCAAGCGCCTGTCCGACGCTCAAAGAAGCAAGCGCCTGTCCGACGCTCAAAGAAGCAAGCGCCTGTCCGACGCTCAAAGAAGCAAGCGCCTGTCCGACGCTCAAAGAAGCAAGCGCCTGTCCGACGCTCAAAGAAGCAAGCGCCTGTCCGACGCTCAAAGAAGCAAGCGCCTGTCCGACGCTCAAAGAAGCAAGCGCCTGTCCGACGCTCAAAGAAGCAAGCGCCTGTCCGACGCTCAAAGAAGCAAGCGCCTGTCCGACGCTCAAAGAAGCAAGCGCCTGTCCGACGCTCAAAGAAGCAAGCGCCTGTCCGACGCTCAAAGAAGCAAGCGCCTGTCCGACGCTCAAAGAAGAACAATAGTAGTAAGAAGTGTCCACAAAGTGGATATGTAGTTGGTGCCTTTATATCATGGCTGAGTAATACTGTACATCATAACACAAGTAATAATGAGTAACTATGTTAAGATGATCTATTTTGTTATATTTTTTGCCTTTGTTTATTATCTGATCTGATTTTGTTGTAACGTTTACATCCTGGAGAATGCACATGTTTTCATAACTATGTGAAGATAGAATGAAATTGGTCAACAAATACATCAGTCACAACTTGCAAAACTTGGCACTTTTAATTTTTGGGGCTGATTTTTTCTCCAATTTCAAACTTTATTTTCTTTGTGTCTTTAGGTTGTTTTGATGATTAGGGACCATATTAGGGCTTTTTCACATATATAAAGTATACCCTAAATATATCCCCTAACTCATTATAATTATCCCTATACAGTATTTTGTGTTTTTTGGGGTTATTTTTTCTTGACTTCATTTCAACACATATTGACCGACAACTTTCACATATTCGAGTATGAATGCCAAACAATGTTTATTAAAACTTACACATTAAATTAATGAATTAAAACTACCTTTATTCATTGTTGATAACTTCAACTTCAATTATCACTGAAACCAGAGTTTCAACTTTGACTGACTTCTAAAATTCCAGTTATTAACCGATTCTCACTATTTTGACATATTGTGTGCTCAGCTGTCTGTTCTACAATCCATCAAATTGGATTTTTCACGAACTTTATACATTTGGAGTTATAATTTTTTTTGGTCTAAATTTGCCAAATACTCTATTGACTATTTTTTTTACAGTAAACTGTACTGAAAACCTATATTCTAATTTGATGAAAATGAAGATGATATGCTATTCTGAGAGATTAATAACATTAAATAAACAATTGGTGATAGTTCATATTTGTTATTCAGAATTGAAAATGTGAAGTTTTCAATATTCAATTTTAAAATAAAATTTGATTCTCTTGTTTTTCAAGTTACGCTGTGATCATTTAGACAAAGTTGGAGCATTTGCCTAGTTGATTATGCAAAAAAATTGGAAAGTGTTTGTGCAAGTTTTAAAAACTTATCTTAAATTATTTTTTGTCAAATCATATAGTGTATGTATGTATTACGCAGTCTAAGGGTTAACATGAGTATGATGTTAAGTTTAACAAAAATAAAAGTACAATTCCATTCAACATTTCTGTAAATCAAACCACAAAATTTCATTCTTGTTTCCACACTACCGAGCACGTCACAAAACAGAATAAATCGAGTTATCGTTTGTTTGCAGAAGGTGGAGCTCTGCTCTAACTGCAAGATAACTACAAGATAACTACAAGATAACTACAAGATAACTGCAAGATAACTACAAGATAACTACAAGATAACTACAAGATAACTACAAGATAACTGCAAGATAACTACAAGATAACTGCAAGATAACTACAAGATAACTACAAGATAACTACAAGATAACTACAAGATAACTGCAAGATAACTACAAGATAACTACAAGATAACTGCAAGATAACTACAAGAAAAAACTAAACAGCACTCAAGTAACTATGCTTGTAATTAGGGAATAAACTTCAAAATGGATTTGGTGTCATCTAGCCATTTATGTGAGGCTTATGTAAATTTGGGTCAATCACCATGTTGTTGAATTTGGGCCAACTGCAGCTTTTCAGAATTTGGGTAATTACAATTTTTCCACATTGATTTTGACTGCAGTCATGCCAGACTGTTCATGTGATCATTGGGACACGCTACCAATACAAGCGTGGTAAATTAGCAGCATGCAAAACTGCGTACATTAATTTGTGAGTATTGTGCAGCTTACAAATTCTATTAAATGTTTTATTCTACAACAGAAATCATGGGACAATTTCTCTCTATCAAGTGCTAGTACAGAGACAACTACATACCTTAATTTTTTTCATTTGGAAACGTGGACTACTGCGTGGAATCTGGCTCATTATAATACTACAGCATAAACATTCACACTGTTCATTCCTCTTGCTGCTGAGGCAAAGTTTCACAAGCAGGAAATACTGTAGAAACACTAGTACAATACTTGCCATTCTTAATGCTGAGGTCGTCTTCCCACGCACTCTGTACAGGCTCTGGAGAATGGTTCAGGATGATGGGATCCACTTCCACATTCATGGTGGTAGGCGGAGACGGGTTCTCACCGTAAGGCTGGGGCGACCCATGATGCTTTCTGCAATGAATAGACAAGACACCTGAAATAGGCATAAGGTATTTAAAGAATATCTATAAAAAATATATATTTTTTTTTTGGCTAATAACATGATCACCAGCCAGGGCAAATTTGCTGTCTTGCAACACAAGAACCGGAGTACAGTACAGTGCATCATTCATATGACCAGTGCTCACGGCCGCAGTTATATTCTCTCATTCTCGCTCCCTCCCTCTCTTTTTCTCTCTCATTCTCTCCCTTATTCCCTCCCTCTCATTCCCTCCCGCTCACATTCCCTCCCACTCACATTCCCTCCCGCTCACATTCCCTCCCGCTCACATTCCCTCCCTCTCCCATTGTTTTTCCCCCTCTCATTCTCTATCCGCCTCTCATTCTCTTTCCCCCCTCTCATTTCTCTCTCTCATTTCTCTTTCTCATTCTCTCTCTCACTTTCGCTTATTGTGTCTCTCATTTTCGCTCATGCTCTCTCATTCTCTTTCAGCCTTAGATCATCGATTATCAGGCCTCATTATTAAACTTATATTTAGCCTTAAACCCAAATTCTAACCGCTCCCCAAAAGACTAAATCTTGTACAAGTGTACCCTTAGAATCCCAGGGAGAGGGCATGTAAGAGAGAAGTTTCAATCAGTAGCTTCAAGGCGTTATATGACTGAGTACTGGGAAGACGGGACACTATCTTCATCTAGTACAGGAGTTACAAGATGATTGAATTGAAATAAGTTTATTGAGGTATAAATACACACAATGGGATGAGGAAGCTCAAGCTATTCTCACCCGTTGAGTACATCTTGTTCATATATTATATATACTATATATAAATATATATATATATATATATATATATATATATATATATATATATATATATATATATATATATATATATATATATATATATATATATATATATATATATATATATATATATATATATATATATATATATATATATATATATATATATATATATATATATATATATATATATATATATATATATATATATATATATATATATATATATATATATATATATATATATATATATATATATATATATATATATATATATATATATATATATATATATATATATATATATATATATATATATATATATATATATATATATTATATATATATATATATATATATATATTATATATATATATATATATATATATATATATAATATTATATAATATATATATATATATATATATATATATATATATATATATATATATATATATATATATATATATATATATATATATATATATATATATATATATATATATATATATATATATATATATATATATATATATATATATATATATATATATATATATATATATATATATATATATATATATATATATATATATATATATATATATATATATATATATATATATATATATATATATATATATATATATATATATATATATATATATATATATATATATATTATATATATATATATATATATATATATATATATATATATATATATATATATATATATATATATATATATATATATATATATATATATATATATATTATATATATATATATATATATATATATATATATATATATATATATATATATATGAACATCACAAACAAATGATGTACGCTGTCATCGTGTAAGTACACTTAGGTAATTAAACTTGGGTAACTACTTAGGTAGCGACACTCTGGTAACTACTTGGGTAACGACACTTGAGTAACTACTTGGGTAACGACTCTTGGGTAACTACTTGGGTAACGACACTTGAGTAACTACTTGGGTAACGACACTTGGGTAACTACTTAGGTAACAACAATTGGGTAACTACTTAGGTAACGACACTTGGGTAACGACACTTAGATGATAACGACACTTAGATGATAACACTTGGGTAACGACACTTAGATGATAACACTTAGATGATAACACTTGGGTAACGACACTTAGATGATGACGACACTTAGATTATAACACTTGGGTAACTACTAAGGTAATGACACTGGGACAAGGACACTGGGACAAGGACACTGGGACAAGGACACTGTTACAAGGACACTGTTACAAGGACACTGGGACAAGGACACTGGGACAAGGACTCACCTGCCAGCAGCGGCCACCTGCCTATCACGGTACCGCTGGTTCATCCAACACTTCCTCAGCTCCTCGACCGTCCTGGGCACGACCACCACGCTCCTCTCACCATTAAAGAGGGTCGTGACCCTCTCCCAAGACTTGCGCTTCTCCTCGAGGCTGTGGGCCTTGATGTCTCGGCACTCCAGCACCTGCTTCTCCCGGGAGATGAGGGAAAACAGTAGAGTCTTCTCCTGTTCGCTGAAATTCCGCCTCTTGGAGAAGGAAGGTCTCATCCCGACCATTGTTTGTTTACAAATGTCAGCTGTGCGCGGGTGTTTGGGTTTTCGCGGGCGCTGATTGGCTGGCTGGGGAGGGCGGGCGAGGCTCTGATTGGCCGGTGGATCAATGGTGATTATATTGTTGGGAGGGAAATGTATTTACCTGAATTTACCTGAGGGTTATTAACACACTAGTGGCCTCGACAAGGACGGGAAGCCGGCGGCTTGTCGAAGTTCCCCTCTCCCCCATCTAAAGTTATGACTTCTTCCAGATGGATTTTAAAATATGAAAATTTTGGAATTTACGAATTCGGCGGGTAGGCGGTTCCATTCCCACGTGTAATTACCAACCTAATTACAAGATTAGCAAGTGTAGTTACAGGATGAGAGCTACGCTCGCAGGGTCTCATAATCAAAATGGTTATTCAGGTAAAAGTACATACATATACGATGAGTTACAAACATAATGTTGGATTTAACCTTGGATTTAATGTTGGATTGCAACCAATCTTATATTGTTTCTGCTGTATTATGCCTACCAATTTTTTTGTCAACTACCATTCAAGCTGTCATTGCAATCAATCTTAGAGCTACCTATGTGCTTTAATATACTGTACCTACAATTTTCTCTCATCTTTTTTTTCATTTCATGTAATCTGTTATCATTTTTTGTCTGTAATTTTGCAAGTATTTACCTCCTTAAAATTTTCTTAGATTAAGGACCTGCCCGAAACGCTGCGCGTGCTAGTGGCTTTACAAGACTGTAATTACCATATTTGTATCCTCACATTCCTTATGTACATTCTTGTATATGCATAAATAAAATAAAATAAAATAAAATAAAAAATTTATATAAAGAGATAGTACATACAATACTTAAAGCCACTAGTACGCACTGTACATTTCGGGCCAGGTGATGTGGGGTGGGAGGAGGGGGGGGGGACACTTAAGCTAAAACTTAATACTAATCGAGATTAAAGTATAATTTGTGTAGGAAAAGGAATAAAAAAAAGGGGGACCATACCAGAAATCATCAATTATTCAAGTTGGTCAACAGTGTTGTTTGAAAATAGCAAGACATGGGTTAACAATTTAGGGGTAAGGTAGGTTACATGGAGTTAATTTTTTTTTTTGAGATATATACAAGAGTTGTTACATTCATGTACAGCCACTAGCACGCGTAGCGTTTCGGGCAAGTCCTTAATCCTATGGTCCCTGGAATACGATCCCCTGCCGCGAAGAATCGTTTTTTCATCCAAGTACACATTTTACTGTTGCGTTAAACAGAGGCTACAGTTAAGGAATTGCGCCCAGTAAATCCTCCCCGGCCAGGATACGAACCCATGACATAGCGCTCGCGGAACGCCAGGCGAGTGTCTTACCACTACACCACGGAGACTAAGATGAGGTAGTAATTAGGTAGTGTTTAGTTTTCCTCTTAAAACTGGTTGAGAGAGGTACAGCCTTTGACATGATGGAAAGGTCATTCCACATTCTGGGTCCTTTTTACTCTGTCCTGCCACGTTTTCAAACTACTGACGGCTTCAACCGCCCTAATTCTCATCTAAAGTGTTAATTTTTTTGTATTTATTTATATATACACGAGTTGTTTCATGGTTGTAAAGCCAGTAGCACGCATAACGTTTAGGGCAGGTCCTTAATTCTAAATTTTCCCCGGAATACGACCCGCCAAATCGTTTAACCAGGTACCCATTCACTGCTGGGTGAACAGAGGCTTCAGTTAAGGATTGGCGCCCACTCAATCCTCCCCGGCCAGGATACGAACCCAGACCAAAGCGCTCGCGAAGCGCCGGGTGAGATCTTACCACTGCGCCACGGGGACGGAAACAAGCACAGCAAATCTTCTATAACTCAAAATAAATTGTTTTGTATATATTTTTGTAATATACCCGATGATAGAGCTTTACGACGACCGGCCGGTGAGATGATTATAGAATATAGATGATATTCTAGATTTACCTCATCTCTCTTATTTAAAATTCACATTTTCTTTCTCTACTTAATAAAAGGCGTGAAAAAGCGTGCTCAAGGTATATCTCCGTTCAATACCGGACTTGGAAATGACATAATTATGTAAACTAAGTAAATATAAGCCTTCAAGAGAACAACGAAGTACTACCTAAAACTCCCTGTAACCTTCCTTACCCCATATATGTCAACCCATGTCTTCGATTTTTAACAATACTGCTTGCTGACCAACTTGTATAATTGATGATTTCTGCCATGTTCCCTCCACCCTTTTATAATTCCTTTTTTTTCAACAATTTATACTTTAATCTTAATTACTATTAATTTTTAGTGTAAATGTTTCTCCCCCCTCTCACCTTGCCCGAAACGCTATGCATATTAGTGGCTTTAGGTATTGTATGTACTATCTATAAATTCAACATTATGTTTGTAATTCATCTTCTATGTATGTTCTTTTAATGAAATAAATATTTGAATTTGACTAATTCGCAGGCATCTTGGATGAGAAAGTCGCTGGAGAACGAAGGCTATTGCGTCACCGTTGACTGCTCTGACCCTCGGGTTCGAGTCCCAGGCAGGGCATTTGTGCACCACAAACTCCTTACACCCGATACCTCTGTTCACCTAGCCATAAACACGTCACCGGCAGTTAGGCAACTGTGGTGGGGTTGTCTCCAGGGAAGGGTCAGTAGTTCCACCCTGGGACAGGGGGTTTCCTAGATAAGTTAAACTAATTTCATTGTGTCGATAGACAGGCAGCCAGAGTATATAATAATTATTATTATATACACTGGCTGGCTGTCCCCCGACACAATAAATTAGTTTAACTTCATAAAGCAATATTGTAAAGTCCCCCTTCGTGAGAATTAGAAAATGATTTTTTAGTGACATTTTAGGGGTAACTATAACATTTTATTCTATAGCCTTGTGCTGCAACGCAAATTTTTGTATATATATATTTACTAAACTAAAAAAAAAGTATTTATAATAAAACTTAAACAAATATAAGTAATGTTACAATTCTTATTTCGTTACTATGAAATTGCATATAAATATCCTACACGTAATTATATTTAAAAATATAAAGTAGCCCGTTCAAGAATATTTGTATTATAATCAATAATTCAACCATGTTTGGTTCTATAATTCTTACAGGAAAGGGAAGATCAAGATAAACCTTTACATAGATAAGGTAGGGTAGATACAGACAGTTTATTTAACACAAGGGGACACAGGTGGAGACTGTACCCACATGAGCCACAGAGACGTTAGAAGGAACTTTTTCAGTGTGTGAGTAGTTAACAGGTGGAATGCATTAGGCAGTGATGTGGTGGAGGCTGACTCCATACACAGTTTATAATGTAGATATGATAGAGCCCAATAGGTTCAGGAACCTGTACACCTGTTGATTGACGGTTGAGAGGCGGGACCAAAGAGTAGAAACTCGATAAACTTACTTAAACCTGCAAGATCAAAAATTACGAGGCAAGTACGTACCTAACTTTGGGGGGATCTTTGACAAGCCGTCAGCTGCCTGTTCTCTTCAAGGCCACTAGAATGTTAGTGGTCCTCGGGTAAATTCAGATAATTTTTTTTATCTATACAGTGATATTGACGAGTCTCCCACCATGAGAACTCTGTAGAAAACTATTTACATAAATATTTTACCCCCTTTATCTTTTTTTCCTAAATTATTTAGAGTAACTAATATAATTCATAGCATAGAAGCATAATATTCTGTTTAAGGTATTATGTACATTTACAAATAAAAAAATTCTCAAATATATAGCTGCTTCTTGACAACTGTAAAGAATTTTAAAGCTTTAATCATATATCAAATACTGCGTTTGTAATGTGATATACGTTATTGAATAATGTTTTTATATTTATTTTATATACAAGAAAGTACATTGGGTTTGAGAGTACAGAGACAAGATTTTACATTCTTGTAAAGCCACTAGCATGCGTAGCGTTTCAGCCATAAAAAATTGAAATGGGGTACACGGACTAAATTATTAAGGGTTTTGCTTAAAATTTTTGAAAAGGCCTTCAGAGTTTATGACTTCAGATATAAAGTATCCAAGTTTAAATATAGCAAAGATTGATCGCGATGAAGTGGGGTGAGGAAGAGGGATTTAATGTGAATTGGAATATTGTCGGGATTCGAACCCTCGACGTGGATTTTCTCAAGCCGCGAACCTTACCCTTGTATTACGATATGGTACATTATTATTATTATTATTAATTAGTTATCCTAGTTATACAACCTGGGATCCCACTCAATCCACAGTAATGTAAGGAAATACTCATACCCTGTATGGGTGGTCAACTAGTGGAATGCACCAATTAGTTGTGGACCAAAGAGCCAAAGCTCAAACCCCGCAAGCACAATTAGGCGAGTACTGATTAGCTGTGGAAGCCACCTCTCCATTCAAAAAGTTAAAGAAAGGTTCGACAGATAATAATTCATTGTGTCGGGGGATTGGGGATTAGGAAGCCAGAGTGTATTCATACGCATTTGGCTTTTATCAAGACCCCCCCCCCCTCAAGGCAGCATTACTGAGCCCCCAGGATGCAACCCCACAACAAGCTGATTAACTCCCGAGTATCTATTCACTGGTAGGTGAACAGAGGCATTAGGTGAAAGGAAGTGTACCAAACCATTTCTGTCTCACCCGAGATTCGAATCCGGAATTCTCAATTGTGAGTCGAGAACGAACCCCACTGTACTACCTGGACCCGTTGTAGTTCCAATATTGAGAGTTAGAATATTGGAGCTTTAATCCAACAGGTACAAGGCTAGTAAGCAGGGATTAGAGCGCGCTAGACCCAAATTCCCCATAGTCACGAACAGGCAAGTACATCTGCAGGTCTAAGAAAATAGTTGTGAGTAGAGGCAGTAGAGGATGTCCCTTCCTCATTAAGAAAATGTGTGAAGTATGGGAAGAACTGCAAAGTTGTTGAAAAAACTTAGATGAAAGCTGTAACAGGCTGTTGTATTGACCTTTTAAATGACAATGTGATGTACTACAGACAAGTGTTGCAAAGAAGGGAAAAAGAATCTTCAATGGATCGTTTCGTTGTGAGAAAATCAAGCAGTGAGCCACAACCAGGACCTAGTGGTATGCAGGCAAAACGTGCCACAGTATGCACTCCAGAAAAAGCATTACTGCCTGATGTTATAATGGAAGGGGACTCCCCTTCCAAAAGGTAACACCTCTCCTCCTCCCCCCCCCCTCCTCATCTTCCATATGCCAACAGCAGTCATCAGCAAGGGTAAGTAATAACTTTAACATAGTTTTTTAGTGTAGATTTAGATGAATTGGGTATAAAATTTAGCTTGAAGTGAGGTTTTTGGGTAGTCAGGAACGGATTAATTCATTTCAAATTATTTCTTATGGGGGAAACTAGCTTCGGTCTCCAGGAACAAATTAAACTCTAAAACTGAGGTACCCTGTAATTCATTGTGTTGGGGGACAGGCAGCCAGTGTGCATTCATATACGTTAGGCTTATATCAAGGTACCCCCACCCAAGTTGAATTACAAGACCATCTTAAGAAGAAAACACCCAGAACTAAGTCAATACTCAAACCAGGAATGAGTGTTAGCTACAGAACACTGCAAGCCAGGCATGACAGGCTGGCTCTTATCCATGACCTTTACAATACTGAGCAAGTTCAACAACTTCAGTCTCAACAAGCCACAGTGTAGGATGGAAAACAATGATTTTTCACCCACAGGGTTATAAACCCATGGAACCGTCTACTCACCAAGGCCGTAAATGCCAAGACATTAAGAAAGTTCAAAATCAAATTGGAAAAATCCTGAGGAACAATTGCTGGGAATGGAAAGGGGGGGAGGGGGCTATGACAAACCTCTGGCTTCCTGTCCCCATAAAGGCCACTGAAGATGGCAGCCCTCAGGTAAATTCAGGTAAAGTAACTTGAAAATTTGGGACAAAAATACAATTAAGTAGTACATTTAATATAAAAAATTAACATCAATTTATACTTAAGGTAAAAAACTTTACAAAAATAAAGTTTAAAGTGCCAGAAACTTGCATGTGGCACAGGTACACAGTACTGGACATGATGGCCCACACGCACACTGTGTTGAATACCAGCCATGACAGGATACACAGTACCAGGCATGACAGGATACACAGTACCAGCCATGACAGGATACACTGTGTGTACAGGTCATGATAGGAAACGCACATACTGTACGTTCATCTACCAACCATAAGAGTATAGCTTACATATCTTTACATATCTATTTTACACACACACACACATACGTTTATATAACATACAAAATGAGGTAGAACAAGTTGAAAACATATAATTCTATTTAACAAAATAAAGTACAATCCTGCACATAAATTTAAATAAAGAAATCAAACCTGCTATGCCATTTCTTTGCCTCAAAGACAAATATTCAAGACATTATATTCCACAGAACTTTACTAAATGAATCCAAAGTAGTACCACCACCACACTATCATAATGTCTTTTTTCACAGCCTTACTGATGTACATGTATATATATAAATCTCTCGGAAGAAAAAATATAATTGAAAATATATAATTATTATTTGAAACAAAAAGTGTTCCTTCACTTGCACAATGTAAGAAAGTTGAGTGCTTATCAAACCTTACTGATGTTGCCATTTTATGTTATCGGCTCATATCAATCAACTCCTCGTGTATAACTACACTCAACCACTGCCGCCAGTCGTCATCGACAGCTGCTGCCAGCCGTCATCGACAGCTGCTGCCAGCCGTCATCGACAGCTGCTGCCAGCCGTCATCGACAGCTGCTGCCAGCCGTCATCGACAGCTGCCGCCAGCCGTCAACAGCTGCCGCCAGTGCTCATCAACGACTGCTACAATCACTAATCAATCACTACCATCCCCATTAAACAAACACATACTAGCTTTACCATCTCTATTTAACCTTGCCAGGACTTACAAAAATCTTATAAAATCATCACTTATCAAATCTTATTAGTACTGTACTGTACTTATATATATTAAAAGTTTACAAACTTAACTAATACTTTAAAAAAAAAAATAACAAAATAGTGTAATACTTTAACAATTATTTGCAATGAGAAATTTCTCTCAGGTGAAGGTAATAGCGAGAGATACGAAGAGTTTCAATGCATCTTGCAGTAATACTGTTTGAGCTTCACTTATAACGTTCCTGCAGATACATGAATTACCAGTACAGTATTACTGTCTTGGCTTTACTGTGTAGGCCTGCTGGAACACCTTCGTGGCCTCCACAGTCTTAACACGTACCTCCAAATCTTGCCAACGGACACTCCAGGATATCTTTAAGTACATCGGCAGCTCGTCTGACGACGTCGTTGACCCAAACACTTTGTCGTGTGGCTCATAGCATGACAAGTAAGTGATATCGGTGCCAGGTATGTCTCCAATGTCAAGATACCATCTTAAAAGATAAACATAATATGAGTTAAATATCTCTTGTGAACATCAAGACAATTTAGATGCCATAATATTCTCCAGATATTGGAGAGAGACATTGTATTTTTACCCGATGAGCTCAGGAAGCTTCTTTTTCACCAACTTCTGTTTTCTCCATCATTGTGCCCTTGTATAACTCAACCTCCAATGATAAGGTACCGCATTAAAGACCAGCAAGGAAACTACAGGCACATGGAATAAATGGTAGAATACTAGAATGGATTAAACAATAGCTAAAACACAGAAAACAATGGGCCATGCTAAATGGGAATGAATCTGACTGGAGAAGTGTAAGTGGGGAACCTCAAGCGGGTCCCTTTTGCCACCAACCTTTTTACTCATACACATCAATGACAAATGAGAATATTACAAACATCATCATCAAATTTGCAGATGACAAAGATTTATGGTAAATGGGGAAGTGAAATTGTTATTGCGGTCTTACAAAGAGAGCTGCATGAACTCCACAAATGGTCAGAAGACTGGCAAATACTTTTTAACATCGATAAATGCAAGACCTTGCATGTGGGTCATAACAATCCGCGTTGCAACTACGAAATTAACAGCATTACCAAGCAGATTGATGAAGAAAAGGACCTTGGAGCCAGACTCCATCATTCACTGAAAGTTGCACAACAGGTGGGAGCTGCAGTATAAAAACGCTAACCAAATCATAGGAATAATCAAGCGTACCTTTGACTTTAATGAAAAGGAAGTTATTCAACTGTATAAATCTCTGGTGTGCCCCTTCCTGGATTACTGCATCCTGGCATGGAGACCTCATCTTCAGAAAGATATAGCTTCAGTGGAGAAAGTTTAACACCAGGCAACAAAAATAATTCCAGAACTAAGTTAACTCTTGTGCCAGGAAAACTTAAGGGGTCTCAGGGCTAACAACCCTACAAACCAGACTTGACAGGGCTGATCTCATCGAAGCGTTCAAAATACCTAAGAGTTTGGAGGATGTTGATCTTGACAATTTCTTAAAAAAATAAGATAACCAAAACAAGGAGCAACAGCTTCAAGCTCAACAAGTCACAATGTAGGACAGAAAACAGAAGATGCATTTTCAGCCACAAGGTTATAAACCCCATGCAACAGCCTACCTGCTGAAGCCATAAATGCAAAAACTCTGCTGAACTTTAACATTCAGCATGAAAAAATCATTGGGACAAATGATGGAGGGGGGGATCTTTGACAAGCTGCTGGCTTCCTCTCCTTGTCAAGACCATTGTGTTAGTGGCCCCTCAGGTAAGGTAATATTGTACATTTTTTATATTTCTTGATCATTCTAATATACAAGTTAAGTTAACTTCATTTAGTATGATGTGTATTTACTCCATTGTACCTTAGAATAATTGTCTCTAAATTATTCAGTGTTTTTTACACTACACACAGATCACACTAACGTGATGCATCAAATGAAAAAATTCGAACCTGTGTCCGGGAGCAGATTAAGGCAGTGTCTGGGATGCTCCCGGACGCAGGTTCGAATCCTCGTCACGGCCCTTGTGGATTTGTTTATTCAGTGTTTTGTGGGAAACATTTTGCGTGGTAGTGGTTACATGTTGCATGCATCCCCCTGTACCTACAATTGTTCCTGTTCCGGGCTCTTTGTATGCATACGCTTATGAATCAAGCATCATTATTAAAGTATTATTATTGTATATTCATAAACACATAAGCGTGGGTTTTTATCCTATTATATCTGAGAAGATCGTGATCTGCCCGAAACGCTGCGTGTACTAGTGGCTTTACAAGATTGTAACTACTATACCTGTACTATGTATCCTCACAATCCCAATGTACCTTCTTGTATATATATAAATAAATAAATAATAATAAATAAGAAGATAGTGCCATTAATTAAGAAGCAGATGCACAATGTCTCACCTGATTAAGAGAGGCGCAATCAATGACAAACTCTTCTCCTTTGACAAGTGCCAACACTTGGTGCCGAGAGTCTGAGAGGGTACAGAGGAGGAGGAGGAGGAATGGGAAGGGACGGTTGAGGAAAAAAAAGTGAGAAGAAAAAATAAATATTAATTTTCAAGGTAAGGTAATTATCAGAAGAAAGCACCAAGTCATTACAAGTACAGTATTCAGCACTTGGAAGGGATCAGGATAAGGATTTGGGATGGGACGGGGGAAAGGAATGGTGCCCAACCACTTGGACGGCCAGGGATTGAGCTGCGACCTGCAAGAAGCGAGACCATCGCTCTACCGTCCAGTCCAAGTGGTCAAACTAAAAAATTAACACAGTCAAACTAATTACTGTTTCAATGCAAATAAGTCAATTTCTAATTAGTTTCAAGACAATTATGTTCAATACAACGTTAATCATAAATATATCAATATAAATGATAACCAGAGTATAATAATAATATATGCAATATTGTACAGCAGAATCTTGATGTATGAGTGCCCAAGTACAAGTTTTTTGGTATACAATGACAATTTCGTCAAAATTTGCTGTGGTGTAAAATGTTCACTCCGGGGTATGACTCGCTTGTTCATACTGTACTTGTATGGGTCACACACCAGAGTTCTGCGGGGCAAAGTACAATCAGTTTACCCATGTACAAGTCATTAGGACAAATGGGGGGGGGGGACCTCTGACAAGTCACCGGCTTCTTGTCCTCATTGAGGCCATTACAGTGTTAGTGGCCCATGGGTAAATTCATGAAATTTGCCTAGTGATAACTGCGTTTGAATTCCCTATGAAGACTAAGCGTGTTTTTTTTTTTTTTAGCTGCTGAACAAAAACGCTCATATTATATATCATGCCATGGGTCCTAAGAAAGTCAGTGATAAGGTTCAACCTTAGAAAATAATTGAGGATGACTACAGAAAAAAAAAAAAAAAAAAAAGACGACTATATGCTTGTGGTTGATCTGGCTAGTGCAGGATGGGAAGAACTGCCAAATTTTGCAGAAAAGACTCGTCCAGATAAAGCTGTAAGTAATCTTTTTAATGACAGTGACATCTCGCTTGATTACCTCACTACAGACAACTGTTAAAACACAGGCAAAAACAAGTGTCTTTAGACAGATTCTTAGCGAGACAAACAACCTGTGAACCACAACCAGGTCCTTGTGGTATGCCTATAAAACATTGATACAGTTCCCCAGAAACTGCCTTATATAATGGAGAGACTTCCCCCTTCCAGACACTAACATCTTGCCCCCTCTCACTCCTCACCGCCTTACATACGCCAACAAGAGTCCTCAATAAAGGTAAAGTGCAATAAAAAATAAGAGTAGTATTCTGTATAAAATGTACTGTATATTTAAGTTAATATTTTTGGGTATGTGGAACGGATTAATTAAATTTCCATTATTTATTATGGGAAAATTGATTTGGTGTAAATATTCGGGTAACAATGCACTTCTTAAGAGTGGATTAAATTTATACACCAAAGTTCCACTGTATCTTCTTGAGGTTATCTTAAGATGATTTCGGGGCTTAGCGTCCCCGCGGCCCGGTCAAAGACCAGGCCTCCTTTTTGTTACCCCCCCCCCCTCCCCCAGGAAGCAGCCGGTAGCAACTAACTCCCAGGTACCTATTTACTGCTAGGTAACAGGGGGCATTAGGATGAAAGAAACATTTTGCCCCATTTGTGTCTGCCTCCACCAGGGAGCGAACCCGGAAAACCTCAGGACTACGAATCCGAAGCTCTGTCCACTCAGCTGTCAGGCGCCCTAATATGGCATCAAGTTCTATTGTAAGACCTTTGTACTGTGCTATGCGTGCTTATGGCGTTACAACAATGTCAGAATTCTTGTATATATAAATAAAAAATATAACAAATCTCATTCACCATAAACATGGGTGTGTCTGGTGGCTGGAGTTCAGTCTGTACAAAGTCTGTGACCACAGGGCTGGAGAGGAACTCTGTTAATGCTACATTCACTTCCTTTCTCTGGTGTTGCCCTACGTGTTGGTGAAGCAGCTCACGTAGACCTCGCTCCTCACTGAAATAAAAGTAGAAAGTTTTGACGAGATCTGCCTTGTCATGTCTGATTTTTAGTGTTAGCCCTGTGGCCCTTCAACCATTCCTGGTATGGGAGTCAACTTAAGTAATTATCAAAAGAAGACACCAAACCGGGAAGGCTATGTAGCACCATCAAATGTGGGGAATAATCAGAGGGCGCTAGATATCACCAAGGATGCCAATGCAAGAACAGAAACGCACAAGGCGAACAATATCAAAAGTATCCAATTTACTAAGAATTCTATTGAGGGACAAGTGACCACAAGGGACAGTCAGAAAGCAAGACACGCTTGTGCTGGAAGTCAGGACATTCAACAAGGATATGCACGACTAAAAGGTGCAATGCAATTTGGACAATAAGGAGCAGGGCGGCGCTCCATTAAGTGGCCGTGAGTTAAGCGTGTAGGGCCAATACACAACCTTGCCAGAGCCGTTTCCCACCGCCGGTTACGGTGGTAGGAGGAAGGCCACCAGGACATACTACTCTTAAGAGTACGCAGTTTGTTACCAGCAACAGAAGACCAACAACTCTGCCAACAGACAAAGATGGAGGAATGAATAACTGGGGTAAAAGTTGGAAAAAGGAATACCTTTACGGGAGATGGGACAAGAGCAGATAGCTTCCTTAGCGGCAGCGTCTGCATGCTCATTTAAAAGACACACCAATATGGCTGGGAACCCAGCAAAACTCTACTGACTTAAAATTTACTCGAGATAAGAAACAGCCAATGTTGAATCTCGACGACCACAGGCTGGACTGGATTAAAGGACTCCAGGGCCATGAGGGCACTACAAGAGTCAACTACCACCACAAAGGAGGATTGACACCGGGAAAGCAGGAGACAAAGAGCATAGGGAATAGCATAAAGTCCTGCCATGATGATGCTAGTCTCTGGAGGTAGGCGACACACAGGTTTATTCAGTTAAAACAACAGAGGAGCCTACACCGCCTGTAGACTTAGACCCATCAGTGAAAATGGAAATTGAGTGGGAGTGTGAAGAAAATTGTTCAAGGAAAAGGAGTTTCAAAACCATAGGAGGGGTAAAAGGGTTTAGTGATGTGGGTCAGGGATGTACAAAATTTTGTAAGGGGGACCCTCCACGGGGGCAAGGATGGAACAATACGAGGATAAATATTGGTAATTTGAACCGAAAGAGAATCCTGCAAGCGAGACAACCGGACAGAAAGAGGGAGGTGAAGAGGAACAGGAACTACAGGAGGGGTAAAAGTCAAAGCACGACAGAGGTGAGAGCGAGGATGTTGTAAGGACCCCGCAAGGTAGCGAAGACTACTGTTTTAGAAACTTGTATTTTGAATATGGCAATGGAAATTCAGCTTGTTATCACTGAGAACATCAAGGAATTTCCCATCTACTGTACTCCGTTCTTAATTTGAGCATTGTTAGTTCTTAGTTAATTTGATTGGTGGACTTTTTTTTTTAAATTAAAATGTTTTATCAACGTTAAGAGTGAATTTTTAGCATTTGGCCACAGATAGATTTATTTATATTTTTTTTAGTTCAGTATTCACCATATCATTTAGAATAAGTGGGTTAGCATGGGAGAAAATGAAGGTTGATACATCTCCAAATAGAATTAGGTGTTGAGTGGCATTTAGAAGATCACTGATGTCAATGAGAAAGAGAAGTAGACCAAGAATACTATCCTGAGGAATGCCAATGTTAATAGTCAAAGTGGGAGTATTGCTCACAGAAACATACTGCTGCCTGTCACCGAGGTGAGATTGCAAGTAGTGAAGAGAGTGACCTCTGACGCCATAGTGTTGCAGCTTGAGAAGGTTATTGTGGTTAACGGTGTCAAAAGTGTCACAGGTCAACAAATAAACCTACAGGGTATTTGTTCTTGTCAAGAGCTGCATGTATCAAGTAAAGCACATTAATGAAAACATTAATGTGCTGGTGCTGTTTTAGGGATCTCAACTCATTGACCAGAGCTAAGTATGTCACGTTTAGCTAAGAAGGAGTGAAGCTGTAAGTATAATAGTTTTTCAAATATTTTTGAATACAAGTGCAATCAAGAATCAAATTTATACATTGTCGTCAACTGAAATAACGTACCCAAGAGCAGCATCGTGAACAAGTTTCAGTGCCTTCTTGAGTCCAATTCCTGCAGCTCCAGATGGCAGTAAATCACAGCCAACCAACACTCCCAAGCCAATCAGAGAGTGATGCGTCAGACCGCACTTTTCCCTCACGTTCTCACTCCGATACCTGTAATAATAATTACAGGTATTTACCCGATTTACCTGAGGGCCACTAACCCTAGTGGCCTCAACAAGGACAGGAAGCCTGGGGCTTGTCAAAGGTCACCCCCTCCCCGCCCACCATTTGCCTTTATGATCTTTTTTCAGGTATATTGTGAAAGTCATAACAGTTTTAGCAGTTATAGCTTGGGCAGGTCAGCAGTTCCACAGGTTAATAACCCTGTGGGTGAAAAAGCACCTGTTCTCAGTCCTACATTGTGGCTTGTTGAGCTTGACAGTTTCCCCTTGAAACCACTGAAACCGTTGATATACAATATAAAGGTGATATTTAATGGTGACAGGCAGGTCTCTCCTTTAAACTGGTTGGAAGATGTACAGCTTTTTATTACATTTGAGAAGTCATTCCACAATTTGAGAAGTCATTCCACAATTTGAGACCCTTGATTTGCATAGAATTTCTGCTTTGGTTGAATCTCGCTATAATGTAAATAAAATATTTGTTTCTCATGTGGTGCCGATGAATTCTATTACGACTTGTTAGAAAAAGTGCTTAAGTTGAGGACTGGCATTGTAGTTCAGGGTTTAAAGATATACAGTAGACTTGAGAGTATGTGCAGTGACTCAATCTTTAATATTTTCAAAGATTTCCTGAAGGGTTTGTAAATATTTTAGTATCTATATTAAAAAAATATATATAATAATAATCATATTATTCATAATAAATGCATATAAAAGTACATATGAGGAGGTAAATTGTAGGTGTAAGTGCACAACAAATAAAAGCCACAACTAATGTAAAACATTTTGGCCAGATACTTTGAGAGAGATCAGTAACAGTTCACATGTAATATTTTTGTCATACGATAATTACACAACTTGTACCCTAAATGTCACACCCTTTATCTTGCCAATTACTATACTGTAAAATAACATGATTATTACTAAACCAATTCGTGACTTGATAATACCAGAACCCGAACATATGGTGTGAAACACTGGATTATATGACAGTCTCCTCGTACACTTTGCTTTGTTCTTGACTATCAACTGAGGATCCTGCAATGAATTCCCGGGTGGGACAGAAATGGTTGGGCATGTTTCTTTTCACCTATCAGTAACTAGGTACCTGGGAGACGGCCAACTGTTGTGGGGTTGCATCCTGGGGAAGGGTCAGTAGTTTGACCTTGGAGGAACCTTGATATAAGCCTTAAGTATATATATTCATGGGCTTCCTGTCCCCAACAACATGAATTATATCCCATACACACACACATTCACAGATGAATGCCAGGGTTAACAAGTCTACAAACAAGATACTGTATGACAGATGACCTCATTTGGTTCGTTAAAATACTGAAAAAGTTAGATATCAACAGACCATTTTAAAAACGTTTGTGACTCGTGCAAAGGACAACAGCGTCTTTCTCAACAAGTCACAATGCGAGTCAAACAATGGAAGAGGCTTTTCCACCCCCTCTCTTCAACAAGGTAATAAATCTATGGGGATCTCTTTCCTGCTGAAGTATAAACACTAAGATACTGCAATAATTCAGAACAAAAAAAAATAATGTGGTAACCTCTACAACCCACAGGCTTTCTGTCCTTATGAAAGTGAAAATAATAATGAACAAATTCACAAGGACCTTAATGAGGGCTGGAACCTATGCTCTGGATGGTCCCAGACGTGCTCTAGTCAACTATCATGACACTACAAATATTGCAACCTCGAGTGCTACTACCCCCACGAGTTAGGGGTAGTGGCATCAGAGGTGGAACTATTTGGTTGACAGAGCCAGAGTGCATGGGAGGAATTGTGTGAAACCTCGGTTAGGCTTCAGTGGAAGCCTTGGGATCCTCATGGGGCAGTAGCACTCCAGGTTGCAATACTTATACTGTATTCACCTAGTTGTTCTTGCCGGGGTTGAGTTCTGCTCTTTCGGCCCGCCTCTCAACTGTTAATTAACTACTAATTCTCCCCCCCCCACTCCCAACTGTGTTGTGGTACAGTTGACTAGAGCACATAGGTTCCAACCCTCATCAAGGCCCTTGTAAATTTGTTCATGGATATATCACGTTATTGTGATTTCTGTGTAATAATAATAATAATAATAATAATAATAATAATAATAATTTATTTATTTATGCTAGAGTACATATATGATACGTAAAACATTGGAGAATTTGTAGGCAAGAGAAGTACAATACTGTATATAAAGCCATTAATACGCAGAGCATTTCGGGCATACATCATTGGCACAAGAGATGATATCCTTCAGTTAAAATAATAAACTGAACTTAGGAGTTTGGTCAGGCAGTTGCTGGATGCACAAGTATGGCAATGTTTACATCATTACACTTGAAACATTAAGGCGTTAGACCAAACGTGAAACTGACAAACTATACCTTAAGCCACTGCTGCCGGGTGCTGTCGAGAGTTTTCTATACACAGTTTGTGCACCATACAGAAGCACATCACTGTCTTCAGTTATTATGCCGTCAACAAGCTGAGAAACAACAGTCGTAACATTACACACATTCTTAGGAGTGCTTACCATCATAACCAAATATGACAACCTATGATAAAATATTTCATGAAAGTGCAGTATGTGAAAATTTGTTTTGTCAGAGAGAGAAAGCCTGCGTATATTTATATTTTAGGCTTTTATCAAGGTCTTCTACCCCAAGGTCAAGCTACTGACCCTCCCCCAGGATGTAACTCCACAACAGTTGCCCATTTCCTGCTAGGTGAAAGGAAATGTGCCAACACCTTCTGTCCCACCTGGAAATCAGACCCAGGAACCTCAATTGCAACTCTAAAATGTAGCCAACTGGAAGGTGAAGGGACGACGATGTTTCGGTCCGTCCTGGACCATTCTCTAATCTTTCCAACAAACGTGACCTAACATAAGCTTACCCTTCCATTTATCTTTCTTTCTCTTTCCTTTTCTTTCTCTTCTCTTTTTTTTTCTGTTCATTGTTTTCTCTTATGTTCCCTTGCTATCCTCCTCTTATTCCTATTACTACCCCCTTCTCATTCCGTGGTTATAATAGGAGCTGCCTTGTATGGGCCAATGGGCCCATACAAGGCAGGGTAAATCTTGCCTTACAGGCTTAATAGAATTCTACGATCAGGTGACAAAGATTAAGCAAGAAAGAGAAGGCTGGGCGGACTGCATTTTTTTGGACTGTCGGAAAGCCTGACAGTACCCCATAAAAGGCTGATGCATAAGCTGGAGAAACAGGCAGGAGTAACTAGTAGGGCGCTCCAGTGGATAAGGGAGTACCTAAGCAAATAGGAAGCAGAGTTACAATGAGGGGTGAGACCTCAGATTGGCATGAAGTCACCAGTGGAGTCCCACAGGGCTCTGTACTTGAACCTATCCTGTTTCTGATATACGTAAATACCCTCCCAGAGGGTACAGACTCATTCCTCTCAATGTTTGCTGACGACGCCAAAATTATGAGAAGGATTAAGACAGGAGGACAGCTTGAGGCTTCAAGAAGACCTGGACAAGCTGCAGGAATGGTTGAACAAATGGTTGCTAGAGTTTAACCCAAGCAAATGTAATGTAATGATAGGTGTAGGGAGCAGGAGACCAAATACAAGGTATCATTTGGGAGATGAAATACTTCAAGAGTCAAAGAGAAAGACCTGGGGTTGATATCACGGCAGACCTATCCCCTGAAGCTCAAATCAAGAGGATAACATCAGCGGCATATGCCAGGGTGGCTAACATAAGAACAGCCTTTAGAAACTTGTGTAAAGAATCTTTCAGAACATTATATACCACATGTGTTAGACCAATCCTGGAGTATGCGGCTCCAGCATGGAGTCCATATCTTGTCAAGCGTAAGACTAAACTGGAAAAGGTTCAATGGTTTGCCACCAGACTAGTACCCGAACTGAGGAGTATGAGCTACGATGAGACTACATGAATTAAACCTCACGTCACTGGGAGACAGAGGGGGACATGATTATCACACACAAGATTCTCAGAGGAATTGAAAGGGTATATAAAGACAGACATTTTAACACAAGGGGCACATGCACTAGGGAACACAGGTGGAAATTTGGTGCCCAAATGAGCCATAGACACATTAGAACTTTTTCAGTGATAGAGTAGTAGACAAATGGAATGCATTAGGAAGCGATGTAGTGGAGGCTACTCCATACACAGCTTCAAGTGTAGATATTAGAGCCCAGTAGGCTCAGGAACCTGTACATTAGTTGATTGACCGTTGAGAGGCGGGACCAAAGAGCCAGAGCTCAACCCCCACAAGCACAACTAGGTAAGTACACACACACACAGTGGTTCGTATAAGGTGCATAATGTCACTACGAGTCAATTTCATTCCTGTTCAGGTTTTAAATGCTATAAAAAAATGCATTGTACCCAAGTATTACAAGTTAAGGATCATGCACTACTTGACACTTTCATCATGTTAAGGGCTCACCTTTTGTTGCTCCAGCCACACACACAGCTTCTCAGCCTCTCCGTTGCTCTGCATGAATGGCACTCCCATACTCTGCAACAGCTGTGAAGAGAAGCCAATTTCTCCTTTAACAGTCACAACGAAAGTATCATTTGTCTCGTTTCAGGCATATGCTAGACATATATACGAATGAATTTAGATGGATAAAAATAGTGTCCGACTTGTAGAGGCCAGTAGGCCTTCTGCAGTTGACTTTATTATGTTCTAATGCCTATCCATAAAGAACCCATCCATCCTTTTCCAGTATAGTGTACTATATGCACATTATCCTTTACTGTATTCCTATGCTATCCTCCCTATTCCTATATTCTTTTCCAGCAAACTTTTCAAATATTCTTTCATAGTTTAAACAAATATTTTATCAAAATCAGTTACTTATGTTTATTCATGCTATAGTGATATATTTTGAGAAATGAAATGCCATACACAACGAGACTCTCACAGTGTTCGAGAAGAACAGCGACACCACCTGACGGGTCAAGTTTTCATAACCGAGGGATTTATATTACCATACTTGAGGGACATATTGGTAATATTTTCAGTCAAGAGGATATACATTATGATATGTCAATAATATGGTATTAGGAGCAGGGACCAAGACCTGAGAAATATTTTTTACTACCCTAAGTCATTGTTAATCTTTAGGTAAACATAACCTGACCAGACCCAGCTCAACCTATCCTAGCATAACCAAAATAATAGAGAAACTGATTTTTATATACAAGGTGTATGATAAAATAATTTCCTTATTAAGACTACATAATAGCTCGGTTGATAGAGCTTCGGCCTTACACACGGAATCCACAGTGCGAGTCTCCTAGAGCCAAGGTGAATGGATGGTGTACAATGTCACTACGACGTTATAATTCTATTCCGGCTCAAGTTTTGGATTCTACCGACACCAGGGAAAGGGGAGGGGGGGGGGGGGTTAGGTTACTGCACTCACGACATGTAACTCTTGACCGTTTGACCACCGTTCCTGTGCCAGGTAAGTCTTCTACGGGCTCACCATAGCCCGTGCTACTTGGACCTTGTTCCTAGTAGCTGAATCTATATCATCATCATCATCTTGACCGAGGCAACATGTATAGTACTGTACTCACCTCTATGAGTACACGATCATTTTTCCTGCCTGTTGGTGCTTTGTACCTGAAACACAACACCTGTTCACACATTATACACAAAGAACATCTTAATTATTACTAATAATTAATTATTATTAGAAAGACAAAGTGGATTATTTAAAGGATTTATATATTGGTGTAAAAATAAAGTATACAAAAGTACTGGAGAACTTTATTCTTTAAATGCTTTAATTGCTATTTGCAATTACCACCTGTACTTGGATTGCCAAATAACTGTTTCCGAATGTATCCATAACCGATACTTTTTCACGTGCACCACATGTAGGACTTAGACGAGCAGATTAAGGGGGTATAAAGGATCCCCTAAAACTGACTGCTAGATGGGCTTTATATAATAACCCCCTATAGGAAACTTTTAATTATAAAATAGGGAGTTAATAATGTCCTGTCCTCGTCAAGGCCACTGGCGACGGTCACCCCAAAGTAAATTACACTCAATGCCGCTGGGTTTCAGTGTTTTAACTAATGTATTACCTCCCACAGTACATGGACTTAATAAAATTTGTATCTAAAGACTGGCTTGAACAGCCAAGTCTAGAAATAGTCACATTTTAATTATAAACCAGATTATTTACATAATTGTTAGAATTTTAAATACAGTAATTCAGAGGTGGCTTTAAACGGCTAAGAAAGTGTCACGAGTTCAAGAGGTGATGTACACATTAGTCCAATATACTGCCAATTGGCAGTCCCATGGAGCATTGGTAAAACACTTGCCCCATGCTTCATGAGCGATTTGCCGTGGATTTGTATCTTGTCCGGGGGGGGTTGATTATGCACCAATCCTTAACTGTAGCCGCTGTTTACCCAGCAGTGAATGGGTACCTGGTTGTTAAACGATTGGCAGGTCATATTCCAGGGAAAATTAGGATTAAGGACCTTTACAAGAATGCAAAAACTCTTGTACAGTATATAAAAATAAATAAAATACTGTACAGTACTGTATTGTAAGACTGCATACCCCACTAGTGGACACTAATTGCTTTTAACTCTTGAGAAGAATGTCAGTTTATGGCTTTTTAGACATTCAACAAATTTATACTCACTAACTCTGAGTTCAGGCATGATCACAAATGTTAATTTTAAGGTTTATCCAAAAATGTTGTGCACAGTTAGTGGCCATGAGCAGAGAATAATTCACAATAATGTGACTGAAATAATCAACCCCCCTCCAACACTAAATGAAAGTGGTAATTCCAGTTCATCCTGGATCCTTATTATGTTTAGGGTTCAGAATAGACAGAATAATGTAATTAAAACTTCATAGAATTATGAATGAATATAGTGTGCTAAGTTACAAATAAAAATAATAGTGATTATCTTTAAATATTAATTACTACTACAGTACAGTACAACTATCCAACAGAAGAAACTCGTTCTCTGCAATCTTGAGCAAGATTATACACATCCCCCAGTGACACAAACCCCCCCTAAAACAAACTCATCCACTCACATGGCTTTCTTGCGGGCAAGACTGATATTACATTTCTGGTGGAGCAGGGCAGCCCAGCGTCGCTTGCCCATGAGGGGCAGCTTCCACTCCGACACCTTGCCATCCAGGACCACAAGAGGCACAACACCGGCTCTAATCAGGTTGGTGAGGCGGTAAAACAGAGTCCTGCAGGAGAGTCACACATTATAGGTAAACGGCAGGGGTAAATTAGAACAGTGCAGATATAGAGACCTTTTACAGAAGCACAAGAGAAAATAAGGAATTAAAAACAAAAATTATGAAATACTTTACATAAATAAACTTTAGTAGAGAGTTGGCAAACACACACACACATTAGCACAGTAATTCAGCCTGGTTAATCACCTAATACGGTGAGTGATTAACCAAGAGTGATATTGGCCGTGTTCATGCCCTGGGTAGTGAAGGACGCTTGGCCGCTGATCCTTAGCCGTTTACCCCTGTTCATTTGACAGTAAACAAGGACCCGGTTCTAAACTGATTGGCTGTTGTATTCCAGTGAAAACTACCAAGGCAGGAATTAAGATGAGCTGAAGGAAGGTTTGAGCTTTTAGACTGCTAACACACATCAAAAGACATCTAAACAATTATTTTACTGACAAGATATACAAAGGTCCATGTACAGTCCATCACCTGGGCTCTGGGTGACTTGAACGGCAGACCCCCAAGAGTGTGAGGCCAAAGCTCTATCGACCGAGCTATTGAAAAGCCTTAACAAGGAAAGTTTCCAGAAGCAGCATCCTGCTGCCAAACGGGTACCTGTATGTTTTACTTTTCAGAGCACAAGTAACCACGTTCAATAGTTACTCAGATTACAGCATTTGTAAAAATGATAAAGTCACTAATTACGTGCAGCAATCTAGACATTCCAGCTTCTCGTTCACTGTCAAAATAATCTGAAAAAATCTAAATATTGTACAAAACTCACTTTGAAACATTACTCTTGGCCACTAGCATGGCCTACTTATACATACCTCAGTCGGCTCTTAACAAGCCATGTCATTGCATCTAATGCCAGCACCAAGCCATTAAGGTCGTCTAGATGAACTACCTCCTCTGCGGCCGCTACCGCACCCCACAGTCCCATCACACCCATCCTGTCAGAATGTTAATATAGGCCTACTGCAGCACCCATAAATATTGCTGGATCTGTTACATTAATCGCATGTGGGGCCGGCCAAAAAATGAATGGGTGATTAGAGAGACAGCTATGCCTAAGGAGACAGACAAGGTCTCCTGAGACCTTGTCTAGGGCTCTGATGGGTCTGGAGAGCAACTGATGAATTCCTGTTGTCTGGGACAAGAAGCCTGCACTTGTACCTAGGTCCCCATCAAGGTCAAACTATCAACCTTCCCCAGGATGCAACCCATAACAGTTGCCTAACTCCCACGTGCCTGCTTACTGCTAGGTGAACAGGTGCATCAGGTGAAAAGGAATATGCCCAACCATTTGTGTTTTGTTCAGAGATCATGGAATGAGTTAAAGATGCAGACCCTTGTGTATGGGGCCTTTGTCTATCTCTGTATACAGTATAAAGGTCTGACTACCCTTATTAATGTCTTCTACTCCCTCATACCCTCCCTCTCCATCCCTTACCCCCTCACTCACACTGTCAGGTAACACAGTGACCACACAGGTACAAGATGTATTTGGCCACCCGTGCAGACGCCAGCCAAACACGTGCAGACGCCAGCCAAACACGTGCAGACGCCAGCCAAACACGTGCAGACGCCAGCCAAACACGTGCAGACGCCAGCCAAACACGTGCAGACGCCAGCCAAACACGTGCAGACGCCAGCCAAACACGTGCAGACGCCAGCCAAACACGTGCAGACGCCAGCCAAACACGTGCAGACGCCAGCCAAACACGTGCAGACGCCAGCCAAACACGTGCAGACGCCAGCCAAACACGTGCAGACGCCAGCCAAACACGTGCAGACGCCAAACCCGTACAAGACGTGTTCGGGGTTCGTGTTCTCATACACCAAAGGGCTGAATATAATGACTCCTTCATGGTTTTAGTATTGCCTACATGACCAATTTTGAAGGTCTGAAAGCCACCTGTAATCCCAACAAAGTTATGCACAATTCAGGGCAAGTTAAAATTTGTGTACAAATATGAGATGCAAAATTGTTTACACTAGGAAAAAATGCAAACAATCCTTGTTGACAATTTTACTAAATCACGTAAACTTTATCCTAGTCAACCAGAAACAACGCTAGGCCTATATTCCCTAGGCCTCATGTGGTGGGAACACCACACAAGGAATAATTTAATCTATACTTAGCTAACAACTAACGAGCCCATTTAAGAAACTTTACAATATAAACCAGTGCATTCACAACCACTTTATCTATTAACATGTTTCAAATTAGTCTACCTCATTTATTGAGACAAATTTCTGTCATACAGATCTTTTTCAGTCACAAAAAGCATGAATAGTATATATTTACTTGAGAGAGCTGAGCAACGTCCTCCCCACACGACAGACAGGCGGAGACTGGCGTGTTGGCAGTCGATCAGCTGACACCAGCAGCTGCTCCCTAGCTGCCAAACTCTCATATATTTCCTCTAAATAAATCTCTCACCGATGATGTAACTGACGCTAAACGTTTTACGAAACGTTGTAGTGATCAGCGTAATATTTTTCTCTCGTGTGAATTTGGTGAAAGGCGGATATTAGAAACTCGTAAGATTTGCAAGCCAGAAGGTATGGCAACCATCTTTAAATGCCAAACATGATGTTTGGAGTGTAAACAATCATTGTAATGTTTGGAGAGTATATACGACCACCGTGATGTTTGGAGAGTATACGACCACTGTGATGTTTGGAGAGTATACGACCACCATAATGTTTGGAGAGTATATACGACCACCGTGATGTTTGGAGAGTATACGACCACCGTGATGTTTGGAGAGTATACGACCACACTAATGTTTGGAGAGTATACGACCACACTAATGTTTGGAGAGTATACGACCACACTAATGTTTGGAGAGTATACGACCACACTAATGTTTGGAGAGTATACGACCACACTAATGTTTGGAGAGTATACGACCACACTAATGTTTGGAGAGTATACGACCACACTAATGTTTGGAGAGTATACGACCACACTAATGTTTGGAGAGTATACGACCACACTAATGTTTGGAGAGTATACGACCACACTAATGTTTGGAGAGTATACGACCACACTAATGTTTGGAGAGTATACGACCACACTAATGTTTGGAGAGTATACGACCACACTAATGTTTGGAGAGTATACGACCACACTAATGTTTGGAGAGTATACGACCACACTAATGTTTGGAGAGTATACGACCACACTAATGTTTGGAGAGTATACGACCACACTAATGTTTGGAGAGTATACGACCACACTAATGTTTGGAGAGTATACGACCACACTAATGTTTGGAGAGTATACGACCACACTAATGTTTGGAGAGTATACGACCACACTAATGTTTGGAGAGTATACGACCACACTAATGTTTGGAGAGTATACGACCACACTAATGTTTGGAGAGTATACGACCACACTAATGTTTGGAGAGTATACGACCACACTAATGTTTGGAGAGTATACGACCACACTAATGTTTGGAGAGTATACGACCACACTAATGTTTGGAGAGTATACGACCACACTAATGTTTGGAGAGTATACGACCACACTAATGTTTGGAGAGTATACGACCACACTAATGTTTGGAGAGCATTAATTTATTTTGACATGTTGTATGCTGTTATCAAAATAATTAATACTTTTGGAAAGGTTTTGAAATAAGACCTTTTTTTTCATATAAGTTTTATTCTACTCTAAATAATATATTTTAATCTATTAAAGCTGCTTGAACTATCGTTACGTCACCAGAGCCATCGTTACGTCACCGGAGCCATCATTACGTCACCAGAGCCATCATTACGTCACCAGAGCCATCATTACGTCACCAAAGCCATCATTACGTCACCAGAGTCATCATTACGTCACCAGAGCCATCATTACGTCACCAGAGTCATCATTACGTCACCAGAGCCATCATTACGTCACCAAAGCCATCATTACGTCACCAGAGCCATCATTACGTCACCAGAGCCATCATTACGTCACCAAAGCCATCATTACGTCACCAGAGTCATCATTACGTCACCACAGCCATCATTACGTCACCAGAGCCATCATTACGTCACCAGAGCCATCGTTACGTCACCAGAGCCATCATTACGTCACCAGAGCCATCATTACGTCACCAGAGTCATCATTACGTCACCAGAGCCATCATTACGTCACCAGAGCCATCGTTACGTCACCAGAGCCATCATTACGTCACCAGAGCCATCATTACGTCACCAGAGCCATCGTTACGTCACCAGAGCCATCGTTACGTCACCAGAGCCATCATTACGTCACCAGAGCCATCGTTACGTCACCAGAGCCATCGTTACGTCACCAGAGCCATCATTACGTCACCAGAGCCATCGTTACGTCACCAGAGCCATCATTACGTCACCAGAGCCATCGTTACGTCACCAGAGCCATCATTACGTCACCAGAGCCATCGTTACGTCACCAGAGCCATCGTTACGTCACCAGAGCCATCATTACGTCACCAGAGCCATTATTACGTCACCAGAGCCATCGTTACGTCACCAGAGCCATCGTTACGTCACCAGAGCCATCATTACGTCACCAGAGCCATCGTTACGTCACCAGAGCCATCGTTACGTCACCAGAGCCATCATTACGTCACCAGAGCCATCGTTCAGGGTCCACAGAGTCATCGTTCATGAGCTTCGTTCTGCCCTGTGCTTGTCTGTACTGCCTCGTGACCTTCCAGAGCCATGGAAACGATATAAAAAATACTGTAATTCGTCGAGGCAAGACTGTCTTCGAATATTTTCAAAATATATTACAATCAGATCTATTCTGACTATTTTTAATTCAATTATATGTTACATTCTGGATATATTTCAGGATATAAACATATCATTTGAGTATATATATATATATATATATATATATATATATATATATATATATATATATATATATATATATATAATATATATATATATATATATATATATATATATATATATATATATATATATATATATATACCCCAATCTATTTCTTTATGATAACAGGGCTTTAAAATCGCTATGTTAAATTTCGAGTATATATAAGGTAGGTTCATATATACTTAGATCTGTATTTGCAATACATAATGCAGCGCAGCATATGCAGTATTCTGTGAATTTACAATGGGTAGAATATACCTCGAGTTTAATACAAATTTATTACTTCATAGATCAGCAATTGTGGTATTTTAGATAACTACTGATGACTTGATCGGTCATCACCTTCATACAACTACTACGAAAATCAAATCAATTATGATCTAAATAAGTAACATTTTTAAACGATTAATTTGATATATTAAAACAATAAAAATTCAAAATATTTGAAACTAAATTGTATTAAGGAAAAAGTAATATAACACTAAAATTTATGACTAGGAGATATATACCAAAAATCACATTTATATATTCACACAATGCAGCAATGTAATGCTTCTTAGCGTCTCTTAACAATGCTCAATTGAATATATTATAAAAGACTCAAAATACCACTAAGATTCTCAAATATTTATAAATGAGAACGTTGATATAAATCTTTTTACGGATCAACAATTCCATAAAAGCAGTTTTAAAAAAACTAATAATTCAGTCACAGCCTTTAAAAAGTTACCCTAAACTAAAGTATTTCTTCCAGGCACTTTGAAAATGTTTTTCTACAAGACCTTTCTCAAGAATTAACTACCCTAAGCTTAATTAAGCTTCCTCCATGACATAGGGCTCCAAACTAGGGGACCCTAAACCCACGAATCCATACCAGGGGGCCGTCTAAACTTAGGGAACCCCCTAAAACTTGCTATCCAAACTAGGGGGCGTCTTAAACTAGTAGTTCCCTTAGTGCTTGGCGTAGTATGTGTAATAATTCTTAGGATGTAGCGTCTTGGAAGGTCTGTCAACCAGTACCTGGGCTGTGGTTGTCCTGGTGACGTAGTAGGGTACCGTGGTGGTCAGGTACCTGTCAATGGTGCTCACCACATACGCCGGTACCGTGGTAGTTAGGTAGTTGTTTATGGGTACCGTGGTGGTGAAGTGCACCTCGGAGATGGCCGTGGTGGTGAGGTACAGCGGTACAGTGGTGGTCTGGGTCACCACTACCTCCTTCAGCTCGGTGGTGGTGATGTAGTGCGGCTGCGTCTCCGTCTGGGTGATGATCACTTGGCGGTAGTCCGTGCTGGTGACGTAGGTCGGGACCTCCTGCGTCTGCGTGACGTACACGTCCTGGTACGCCGTCGTGGTGAGGTGGGTCGTCACGGTGACGTACTCGATGTCCGTGGTCGTCACCACTGTCGTCGAAGTGACGTACTGCGTGTCGAAATGCGTCTCCGTCAGAAACGTCGGCAGGTGCGTCGTTTCAGTATACGTCGAGTACTCCGTGCTATAGATAGGCAGCTGTTGGGTCTCGGTTTCAGTAGAGTACTCAGTCCGGTACTTTGTATGGTATACTGTGGAGATCAGAGTACTGTATACTGGGACCTCCAGTATAGACGTATCGGTCTGGTACTCTGTCTGATACTGCGTCTGTATGACGGTGGTGTACACAGGTACTTCCTGGTACTCTGTCTCTGTGAAGTACTGAGTCCGGTACTCCGTCTCGTACTCTGTGTTGTACACAGGTAGTGGGGTAGTCTGTAGAATAAACCAATAAAATAAATTATTAAATAAACTGCCATCTTAGATTTTGACGTTAACAAATTTATTATTGATTTATCAAATAATTATAAACTTTGAAGCTAAATTACCGTGAGAGAAATTCCAAACAGGTCTAGAGAAAGCTCGACAGTCTTCATATATACAAAGCAGCTCGCGAATCATTTCTATTTACATCCATATATTCCAAGAAAGTTGGCGGGCCACGCCTGGCAGAGCTCAACGCCACAGTGAAAACTTCTCGTACGTCAAAACACATTTTATCGTACGCACTTACAAGACACACACACACTTATAAACTTGAGATGTACTTACATAAGTGATGTACTCAGTGCTGCGGTGTGTTACATAACTGATACTTGTGTCTGTGATAGTTTTGGTCAGCTCCACCTGTACGACACAAGAAAAAAAAAGAATTATATCAACCTTACAGCAACGTAACCAATTATTATTATCAAGATCAATAGTAAACAAAACATATTTCTTCTCACAGACAACAAAATACATAATACATCAAACTAAAATCAGCTACAAGATGTGTAATGGCTGTAACTTATTGAATTAGAAAGTTTTAAACAAATTACAAGTTGCCTGCAGAATGTAAGACTTTATAACAACGTACCTTTACTATTAAGTTCAAAGTATCCTAGCAGCACGACGCTAACAACTAAACTATTGTAAACTACTATAGTGCTCTATAACTACTGTAAACTACTATAGTAGACTATCTTGAGATGATTTCGGGGCTTAGCGTCACCGCGGCCCGGTCCTAGTCCAGGCTTCCTTTTTGTTACACATCCCCAGGAAGCAGCCCGTAGCAGCTGTCTAATTCCCAGGTAGCTATTTACTTCTAGAGGAACAAGGGCATCAGGGTGAAAGAAACTTTTTGCCCATTTATCTCTGCCTCAACCTGGGGATCGAACCCGGGACCACAGGACTACGAATCCGAAACGCTGTCCACCCAGCTGTCAGGCCCCCATAACTACTGTAAAGTATTATAGTAGTCTACAATACTTCAGTCAACTATTATAGTAGCCTACCACTACTACTGCAGTAGTCCACTGTAAACTATTATACTGGTAGGCAATTACGGTAGCAGTAGCAGCGGTAGGCTACTAAAGTGGTTTACAGTAGTGGTAGCTAGGCTACTATAGTACTTTACTATAGTAGTTTACAGTAGTGATAGTTGTTGTTTTAGATTCAGCTACTTGGAAGTTGCAAGTAGCACTATAGGGAGCCAATAGTAGACTACCGTTATACACTACTAGTAGTGTATGGCAGTAAACTGTTGCTATACTAGTGTAGGCTATAAACAGCTATATGCTAGCACCACTAGCTAGTCCTGCTAGTCACACACACACACACTTTGTCCGAGATACTTCAATAGACATGGAAAGTGCTGACACGCGAGGTAACCTCCCCCTGCGCACAAGACGGAAGCCGCACATGAGCTCAAGAAGGCCATTAAGGCAGCTTTCTCGCCGGTCGACGCCAGGGCGCGGCAGATGGCGCCCGCGCCTGCGCACTCGTGCGGCAAAAACGTCCGCATCATCCTCATAGAAAATGGGGTGTTTGGGGAGTGCTTACAACTTTCCATTTGGCGGTGATTTATTTTGTTTTTTCTTGTATTTTTTGTGTAATGTATTTCAGAGTGATTAGTTTAAGTTTGTTTTTATGCCGAAGATGTTATAGTTGAACACAAATGATTGTACTGCTTTAATTTACTGCCTTTTAAAATGGATATAATTTGTTTGATGTACATGTAAACTGTAACTTTATCCTGATATATATTTATCTAAAAAAATAATATTTATTCTTCTTCAAATATAATAATTGTTACCTCAATACTGGGGCAAAAAATGAAATAAATTAAGACAGGAGTGAACTTTCATTTTTTGTGGCAATTATTAATACTTATTTCACTCTTACTTTGACCTTAGAATAAATTAATTCATATGAAGTAGAAGTACTAATATTAAAATTATTTTACATTACACATTTTCTCTAGCTGTATATTATAAATACCAAAGTCTACCCCTCTAACTTCAAAAAAATATTGATACAGAAAATGGAAACGAAGAGGAGGGAGCCTACTTTCACACGCTCTATGGTTAAGTCACTTAGATTGTAAATGGATGATGTTTGACGTCTTCAAACCCGAGAATATACTAACGGGCAGCAGTTACAATCACAAACTCGACAGCCACATGAATGCACGCCGATAACCCAACTGCTGCGCTAAATTGGTTGTTACATCGGCCAATAGCTTTCACCTCCTGTGGTTCTGGGGTGACTAAACAGTTTGCTGCTGGTTATGGCGCCATAGTGGCTCTTTCAGGCACTTATTCCGCCGTATTTTAGATGCTATCAACACCAGCGGCCATTAAATGGCCTTCGAGTGGAATTTAAACAATTCTCAATTTGTACAATTTGTTGGATTAATAACATAGCTACGGAAATACTGCCAGGGGTGATTCAGTACTTAAGTTTAACATTAATTCAACATCAAAATGTCATTAATAATATTGATTTACTGGTGATAGAAATGAATTAACATTGTTAACGTTAAAATCGTTGAATTAACGTTGATAATGTAGGAAAATAAGTAGATTATCATACATCATGCAGAGTAGGAAGTGAGTAGATTATCATACATGACAGAGTAGGTAATGCGTAGATTATTATACATCACTCAGAGTAGGTATATTATTATACATCATACAGAGTAGGTAAGGAGTAGATTATCATACATGACACAGAGTAGGCAATTCATAGATTTTCATACATCATAGAGAGAAGGTAATAAGTAGATTATCATTATTATAAGTAGTAAGTATTGAGTAGATTATCATACATCACAGAGAGTACCGTATAGGTGGATAATGTCAACAAACCATACATGCTCTAACCAGAGTCCATAGTTCAATCCCTGCAGCACAAGGGACAATAGGGAGGTCCCCGTGGGCTTGTACTCACTATGGACTCGTCCGGCAAGAGTCCATGCACGATGAATGTTGAATAACATACGGGAGAGATGAATAACAAGGGTTGAATGATAGATGTTACTCATGCTTGATGATAATTACCCACCTGTTGGATGCTGGTGTGTGTGATGGTGACTGTATTGAAGATGGTAACTGGTCGCCCTCCAACACCTCCTCCTCCAACGCCTCCCCCTCCAAATCCGCCTCCAAACCCACCCCCTTGCTTTAAGCCGAAGTCACCGCCGCTGCCGCCCTGATCGAACACATTGTCGAACTGAAAATACTCATTGATGCCGCCGCCGTGTTCGGACTCGCGGCGTTTCTCGGCTACGATTTTGATCAGAGGGCGGCTTGATACCCCAGCACCCACAGGGGTGACTTGTATGGCGGGGGAGCCGGATGGGTGGGCCGGGTGGGCCAGCAGTAGCAGCAGGAGGGCGGAGCCCACCAGGGTGTGGGTGGAGGGCCGGTGGATAGCAACCGCAACAGTCATTATAATTTATATATCTTCCACTGAAAAAAATAGAAATAATAATATAATATATTTTATATAATATATTATAATTTTACATTTTACATTATGCAATATATATTTTATAACAAACATTAATTATAGTATAACTACTTTATATTACACAATATATATTAAAATTTTACATATATATAACATAAATTTTACTTTTTCTATAAAATATTATTAATAAAGGTTATTAAAGTAATTTATTCATTCAAGGGAGGTTGTACAAGACAAAATAGTTAGTATATAATTCTTTCTTGTAGACATAAGTTATTGAATATGACAGACAGAGATCAATGATTCTAGCACAAATCTTCTCTATTTTTCTTTTGTTTTCAATTGAGAAGTTGAAAAATTAACTCTCCAAAAGTTCATTTTACAGTTTTAGTGCGTCCTGACGCCGAGTGACGCGTTTCATTGACCCTTGTCAACATTCTCGCATCTGGTGTATCACTCCGAACGAGGGTTCGATCCCACCGCCCCGCTCCGATGATTATATCTTAGATACATCAGATTATTGTGTTCTTGATGAGTATCATACGAATTCTTTAATGGAAAGGGGAAGATATACTCAGAGATACAGTTTACCTCTCGAGGTATATACACCCTAAAAGTTTACCATAGTTTTTAACTTAGATAAAATGCTCTAGGTGATAATTATAGTCCTCAAATCTATAATTATTACCTAATTATTATATAACCCAATAGAAAACGAGTATCAGGCGAGGGGAGACTGAGCCGTGAAATCAAAAGTCACCTGATTTCCTCCAGAAAGGAAACTAAAAGTCAATGAACAGCGAGAGTGAAGGTGAATCTCACTCCTGACTAACAAAGGAAAAATAAATACATGAAGAGAAAGATAATGATATAATTTGTGCCAATGAAAGTGACGCTCAGGTACAGCGGCAGATGGCGCCAGTTCTCCCCCCCGCGGGCATCTTTGTTTACATTTTGTGTTTTTCTTGGTTTTGGCGGGAAAGGTTAACTGCGCTGCCAAACGTACGAATCGTGTTCCAAACAGCTGGACGTGAAGGATGTGCCACACTGGCAGGTGTATGGAGGGTGTGCCACACTGGCAGGTGTATGGAGGGTGTGCCACACTGCCAGGTGTATGGAGGGTGTGCCACACTGCCAGGTGTATGGAGGGTGTGCCACACTGCCAGGTGTATGGAGGGTGTGCCACACTGCCAGGTGTATGGAGGGTGTGCCACACTGCCAGGTGTATGGAGGGTGTGCCACACTGCCAGGTGTATGGAGGGTGTGCCACACTGCCAGGTGTATGGAGGGTGTTTTACACTGCCAGGTGTATGGAGGGTGTGCCACACTGCCAGGTGTATGGAGGGTGTGCCACACTGCCAGGTGTATGGAGGGTGTGCCACACTGCCAGGTGTATGGAGGGTGTGCCACACTGCCAGGTGTATGGAGGGTGTGCCACACTGCCAGGTGTATGGAGGGTGTGCCACACTGCCAGGTGTATGGAGGGTGTTTTACACTGCCAGGTGTATGGAGGGTGTGCCACACTGCCAGATATGACCATCTAAATCACTAATTAGCGAATCAGGAACTGCCCTTTTGGAATTAAAATCTCTTTCGTAAACAAACATCAGACAGGAGATGTAGTCAAAGATTCACACATACACAGATAAATATACCGACAGACACACATTCAAACACACACAGTCATACATTGAGAGACATACACCTGTCTGGGGCCGGACAGCTGAGTGGACAGCACTCGGTATTCGTAGTCCTAAGGGTCCGGGTTCGATCCCTGGCGCAAGCGGAAAGAAATGGACAGAGTGTCTTTCACCTCTGATGCACTGTTCACCTAGCAGTAAATAGGTACCTGGGAATTAGACAGCTTCTACGGACTGCTTCCTGGGTGTGTGTGAAAAAAATCAGTTGATTGGCAGTTGACAGGCGGGCCTAAAGAGCCAGAACTCAACCCGCACAAGCACAACTAGGTGAATGCACACACACACACACACACACACACACACACACACACACACACACACACACACACACACACACACACACACACACACACACACACACACACACACACACACACACACACACACACACACACACAACACTAGGATGCGACGTCCCGCCCCCTACAGCCTCAGGGGCCCGTAAGGAACACTTCCTACCCCTCCTCAGGGAGCACCCGGCGTGGGTCCTCACGGAACAGCAGCACCAACTAGCTGCACACACGTAGCAACAGTAGCATTTAAGTAGCGCCTCGTTTCCAGCAGCAGCTCCTACGTGTTGGGCAAGTAGCAAGACGTCCTTGTTACTTGTGCCCTCGTCCAGACGTCCAAGAGGAAGCCAAGGACGTCTAGACAAGGAACAGGAGCACAAGTTACAGTTCCTCCCACCAGCAACACCCAACACCTTCCGCTCAACACCCAACAACACAAACATCTTCAAACCAAACCTGGAACATTGAACAAGGGGAGACATGTTCACGACGTACAAAATATCAACAGGAAAAGATCAAAAAACAGACAAAAAGAAATTCCTGAAGCCTGAACCTTCAAGAACAAGAGGTCGTAGACTCAGGCTAAGGAAACACAGGTGTCCAAAACAATTAGAAAGTTTTCCATAGCAAAACAGAGTTGTAGAGACAGCTGGAACAAGTGAGAAGGTGGTGGCAGCCAAGACCTTCAGTAGTTCCAAAGTTACGACAAAGAGTGCTGGGAAGACGGGACACCACGAGCGTAGTTCTCATCCTGTAACTACACTTCAGGTGATTACACTTAGCTAACTACACCTAAACAACCATAACGACGCACTAACGAGGTTGTTATAACAATAATAACCTCGAGTTGTAGTGGTTCCAAAGTCAGCAACACAACACAGGAGTCAGCAACACAACACAGGAGTCAGCAACACAACACAGGAGTCAGCAACACAACACAGGAGTCAGCAACACAACACAGGAGTCAGCAACACAACACAGGAGTCAGCAACACAACACAGGAGTCAGCAACACAACACAGGAGTCAGCAACACAACACAGGAGTCAGCAACACAACACAGGAGTCAGCAACACAACACAGGAGTCAGCAACACAACACAGAAGTCAGCAACACATCACAGGAGTCAGCAACACATCACAGGAGTCAGCAACACAACACAGGAGTCAGCAACACAACACAGGAGTCAGCAACACAACACAGGAGTCAGCAACACAACACAGGAGTCAGCAACACAACACAGGAGTCAGCAACACAACACAGGAGTCAGCAACACAACACAGGAGTCAGTAACACAACACAGGAGTCAGTAACACAACACAGGAGTCAGCAACACAACACAGGAGTCAGCAACACAACACAGGAGTCACTAACACAACACAGGAGTCAGCAACACAACACAGGAGTCAGCAACACAACACAGGAGTCAGCAACACATCACAGGAGTCAGCAACACAACACATGAGTCAGCAACACAACACAGGAGTCAGCAACACAACACAGGAGTCAGCAACACAACACAACACAGGAGTCAGCAACACATCACAGGAGTCAGCAACACAACACAGGAGTCAGTAACACAACACAGGAGTCAGCAACACAACACAGGAGTCAGCAACACAACACAGGAGTCAGCAACACAACACAGGAGTCAGCAACACAACACATGAGTCAGCAACACAACACAGGAGTCAGCAACACATCACAGGAGTCAGCAACACAACACAGAAGTCAGCAACACATCACAGGAGTCAGCAACACAACACAGGAGTCAGCAACACATCACAGGAGTCAGCAACACAACACAGGAGTCAGCAACACAACACAGAAGTCAGCAACACATCACAGGAGTCAGCAACACATCACAGGAGTCAGGAACACAACACAGGAGTCAGCAACACAACACAGGAGTCAGTAACACAACACAGGAGTCAGCAACACAACACAGGAGTCAGCAACACAACACAGGAGTCAGCAACACAACACAGAAGTCAGCAACACAACACAGGAGTCAGCAACACAACACAGGAGTCAGCAACACAACACAGGAGTCAGCAACACAACACAGGAGTCAGCAACACAACACAGGAGTCAGCAACACATCACAGAACGTCCCGGACGTTGCTAGAAAGTCCAATAATCAGATAATTCTCTTAACACGGAAAAATATTACAAGGCAGAGGGGACATGATCCAGACATACAAAGTAGAGGTATGGCACGGTAGCGGGGGGGACCAGGGAGCGTTAAGAAGGAGCAGGAACACTAACGTAGCTTGTTGTTTGGAGCAGTGAAGCACACTGACCGTAGGGAAGATGGTCTCTCACTCCTCAACTGTCAACTTTCCCTCACGCGCGCGCACGCACGCACACACACACACACACACACACACACACACACACACACACACACACACACACACACACACACACACACACACACACACACACACACACACACACACACACACACACACACACACACACACACACACACACCACTACCTCACAGGAGGATGAGCCTACCCAAGTAGCACTGACCATGGAACATCTTCTTACACTTATGGGGAGTGAGGGTGACAATGGATATAAGAAAGTGAGCTTCAAGGTAATGTACTCAAACATTGATGGGACTACCAATAAAGCAAGTGAACTGGCAGAAAGAGCGCAAGAAGAAAACCCAGATGTAATAGGACTGATGTAATAGGACTCACGGAAACAAAATTGTCAGGAGTCATAACAGATGCTGTGTTTCCAAAGGACTACTATAGTAAGGAAAGAGAGGGAAGGGAGAGGAGGTGGAGGAGTGGCCCTGCTGATAAGGAAGGACTGGAGTTTTGATGACATGGAAATTCCGGGCTGTGACGGGTTCAGAGATTACATAACACGAACTATAACAATGGGTGGACCTAAGATAATAGTGGCAGTCATTTACAACCCTCCCCTAAATGACAGAAGACCTAGACAGGAGTTTGATAGGAACAACATGGCAAC